ATTTTTCAGTTATATTTAGGTGAAAGGCTTTTGTTTTCTTCTTGCCTAAATGTTTTGGGTATCCTTTCTTTTCACTGGCAATATCAGATTTTGTACACAACATACTTTCTTTGAATTGTTTAATAGGAATCAATACCATTTTTTATCTACTTTATTTTATAATTGAGGAAGCTCTTTGAGTTCTAACATTTATATATTCTTAACTAGAATGCTTCATTTATATGTAGAATAAACAATGGAAATGACCTAGATCTTGTTCAACAGGTAGTTCCTGATTCAGTATGTTCTGAGAGCAACTCTTATATCAGAGTTCAGAGAAGGAAAATGTTTGATTTTCTTTTAAAGGACTAGATCTTATAGACTATGACATTGCCTTTTTAATCAAATGGGACTAGAACTTAAAGCTTTGCAACCAGGCCCTTCATCAGGGAAATCAGTTTCTAGGTTGTGGACAAGGTTTACTGGCTAGCATGTTTCCAATGTTCTTGGATGCTTTTTGTAGTTGTCACAAATGCTAACAGCATTTATTGTTCATTTCCTTTAAGGCAGGCCTATTATTATTATTTTAAATCCTCACCCAAGGATATGTTTTTATTAATTTTTAGAGAGGAAGGGAAAGAGAAAGAAAGAGAAACATCTATGTGAGAAACATGGATCAGTTGTCTCCCCTAAACCTTCTGGTGTTCTGACCATGCTCCAAGAGCCAACCGTCCAGGGCCAAAGCAGACCTATTGAAGACACCAAAATCCCATGTCTACTTAACTACCTCTCAATATCTTTTACGTGGTAAAAATTATGTGCTCTATATGAACAGACGATAGAATAAATCATGCAATTTAATTTTTATCAGTTACCAAATTCAGGATTTCTCTTTGTAATTGTAGATTTTGAGAGGGTAATAATATGTATGCTATTTAGTATGTATGATATTTAATCAGCAGTGATGTCCATGAAATTGAATTATGAGTTGGTAGTCACAACTCCACCTATAGCACCCCTTTACCCACAAATGTCAAAACAGTGTTGAAACAGAAGAGTGCAGGATGTATTAGAATCTGAAATCTTTCTCAAGGATATGAGGTGCTTAGCAACTTTTTATTTACAGGTTAGGATATTTTAATATGAATTTAAAAAATGGACTTGAAAGATCTAGAGGAAGAGGTAAGTTTCTATGGCTATTAAGTATATAGAACTTAGTTTTGAATCTGGCACTGAGTTTGAGTTTTACTGTGTTTTGGCTATGGGTGAGTTGAAACTTTTAGATTTTTCTTTTTAAAAAAATTTACTTATTCTTTTGTCCTCAATCTATTTTTTAAATATGTGAAATGGTAGTTATTGAAAAATTGGGAAAGGGTACAAGACTGCCTTAAGAAAGGCAAAGGGCTTAAAGAAATGTTTTAGGCTATAAGTAAGTCTGAAAGCTGAAAATGATTGTGGAGTTTACTCAAAAAGTTCAGACTTATTAAATAATTTTATCAAGTAACACAATGTTCAAATAGAGGCATACATTGTTCTAAGATTCTTTGAAATTTTAAAGATAAAATTTTGGTTACGCTTCTGTTGACTTTAATAAGGTATTTACGTAATTTTAACTCACACTGTCCAACACCTATGAAGGTTGTGTAATACCTTAAAAATGGAGCATTATGGAGTCATTCCTGCTACTCTCTGATACTGATAGTCCCTGAAACTCCTTAGGCTGATGTGGCAAAAAAGCGGACGCGCTGAGTTCCAAAAATCTAGGCCGCATTTTGATACTGAAAATTACTTGCTGTGAACTTGGGCCACTTTTTGATTCTTTTTGGCACAATAGTTCTGTTGCTGCCAGAGTTTACTTTAGGAAAATTTCCTACGGATTTAAGATTTTAACTATTGAATTCTCTTGGACGATTTAAGGAAGAAGTATCTGTTCCTTTCTGACTTGCTTTACCGAAGACTTGAGTTGGAAGGCTGAATTTGGTTAGGATTGTTATGCTGGCAAGGAAAATTCAGAGATGAGTTATTCTTTACACCTAGGTCAGCTGAAACTATCTCCCTCGAACAAATCCAGCCCCCTTACTTTATTCAACAGACCTAAAAATAGGGTCCTAAATTTAGAGGGTAAGGTGCTACTTTTAGCTTCTCTTCTCAGAGGAGACGGGGCCAAGGTCCTCCCGGGTTTGACTTGGCATTTGGGTAAGTAACTAGGAGCATATGAAGTGTCGGACCCTTCTGCCTAGTAACACCCAGGTGCTCAGGTAAACGTGAGCAGCCCCTAGGCCTTCGCTGGGCAGAGCAGACCCGATGCTTGTGCTCTCGGGCGGAGGTTAAACTGTGACCCGACAACAGTTGACCCGAGATGTCTTCCTGTCCAAAGTCAACAGTGCGGACACGGTTGGCAGGACACACAGGCACGGGCCCTGCAGGTCGCTTTCTAACTGGAATGAAGGCGGCGGCCGGTCTTCCTGGACCGGCGGGGTCCCCCGGGGTACGACGCTGTCAGGGCTTCGGCGGGGCGCAGACAGAGGCTCTGGCGGGGCTGCGCAGGAAAGCGCTGCAGGTTGGGGCTGGGGCCGGTGCCGGCACCTGGACCGAGGGGGGCTGGCGAGGGGCCTCCAGGGGCAGCCTCACTGCCGCGCGAGAGGGGTCCTGGGCCAGAGCCCTCGTGGGTCGGGGCTGAGCGGCTCACATCACAGCGCAGAGCCTGAGGCCGAAGCCCATTTTCTGAGCCCCAGTCCCTGGGCTTCCAAAGGTGGGTGGCCTCGCCAGGTAGAGAGCAGGCCCCTTTAAGAGCGAGCGCCCAGGACACGTCTGCGAACCTCGCGCGAGGAAGGAGAGGAGATCTACCCGTCCCCGCCTCCCCGCCTCCCCGCCTCCCCGCCTCCCAACCACCGCCGGCCGCAACCAAAGCGAGGGGTGGGGCGGCGAGGAGAGGGCTGGTCGTGGTCTCTCGCGGGGCGGGCTTTGGCTTTCGGATCACCTGGACGCAAATCCTAACCTAGGGGCCCCAGTTCCCTACTGGGCAGCGTGGACACTTGAGGCCTGTGGGGCCGGTCCCTCCAGCTACCCCCCCGCAGCCGGCTCGGCAGTGGTCTGGTCGGGTTGCCGGTTGCGGGTTTGGGATCTGGACGGAACGCTGCGTGCTGGGTGCCGCCGATTGTGGCTCAGCCAGGCCTTGGCCACGGCGGCTGTATCCAGGGCAGCCTTGGCGCCATGGAGGAGCCCGGGACGGCCCCTCGGCGGTACTTGGGGCTGGTCCTGGAAAAGCTACGCAGGGTGAGTGCTGGTGCGATCAGAGTTCCTTGGCCCAGGGGTCGCGGAAGCTAAGCCGCTCGGGGAAGGAAGCTGCAGACTGCGGCTTTGGGGGTCCCAGCGGCAGTGGTGGCAGGTCCCGAAACCAGTCTTCATCTGCCGCCAGCCCAGCCTGGGTCCGAGGCAGTAGCCGGGTTCGTGGGATACTCGGGCCATTTTTTGTTTGGTGGAAGGGGACCTGGACATGAGGACGGTGAAGAGAGCATTGCTTAGTGGGACTTATAAAGGTGTGTTAAATGTTTCCCAATCCCTACAACGAATTATCCTTTCCGGCAAGTATTTATTTTGAACAGAGGTCAGTGACACGTAGTTCCCCCGACTGTACGAAACTTAAGGACTGGGCCTCTGAAATGAGTTCCTTTTAGTGATGAAACTTCTTGTCCTGAAAGGATACCCAAGTCTGGACGGGGGAGTTGGGATGCTAATTCTACATTTTCTTTTAAGATGCTCTTTTGAGATGCTTTACCATAAGTGAGATTGTTCTTCCCTTCTTTCTCTTGTCTTGTTAATGTAAGATGCCATGTTAATGTAAAGTCTGGAAATTTTAAACTCGCAGTGTTCAAAATTATTTGGTTGTTTATAATGATGTTGGATTTTTCTGAGTAAAGTGTCTTTGTAGCCATGTTTAGGGACATTAACATTGCCATGTTAAAACTATTTGCATTAAACATTTAAAAAGTCCTTTTAAAATACTGAGGCGGTTATGATTATTTGTTTCTTGTTATTATGTAAATTAGACAGTACAGTTGCCATGGTATTAATATATACATGACAGTTCTATGGGGATTCTAAATGGACTATGACATAATTTGGGCCACTGGCATCATGCTGTCTGTTAAGGGAGGCAAGACAAAAAAAATAAAAAGTGCCAAGTAGAAACTGATGAAGTACTTACTGAAGCATATACAGAAAGTGCTAGAGAAATTGAGGAGTGGAGAGATTACATTTTCTTGAGTCTAGGAAAACCTTTCTAGGCTGAGGGAATAGTTTAGCAGAAGAAGCATGAAACAGGATGGTGTGTGCAGCAAACTAGGAGCTGTATTACTACAAGTGTATACTGGGCTCAAGGAGTGATGTGTAATGACACTTGCTAGAGATATAAGTAGGTTCCAGGTAAGGGTGCTCGAGAGCCATGGTGCCTTTATTTAGCACCTTAGGCTAAGTCTAATTCCTCATAATGTAACTGAAACAAGACTGAAACATTGACGTAAACCTTTACTAAATGTTTGTATACAAAAACAAAAAAGAAACCACAGAGAATTAGATACAGATAATTCAGCCTACACAATATGCCTTTCTCTTGGCTCCTAGGCTCTGTCTCATTTTAGAACCTGGCATACCTGGCATATTTTTATGTGCTAGGCACTGTTTTAGCATCCATATCTACCTTTAGCAAAGTCTGTGTCCCAAAAGAGAATGATTGAAGTAGAAATAGGGGTTTCCTTTTGGAGCCCCTCCCCCTTTATCTATATGATTGACTTTGGGAAAGACTACCTTCCTTTCAGCATCAAAGGTGATAGACCATAACTATTTGCAGGAAGTTTCCCATTTCAGTAGAACCGATACTAGCAGATGGTCCTCCTCTGCAGTGACCCCTCCAAGATACTTAATTAGATTTATCCAAAAAACTGGTATTATAAAAGTCAGAGTTGGAGTCACAGATTTTGTGAGTTATCATCATAGTGGTAGTTAATTTTCTTGTCTTTAAGGTTGGGGCAGCATTGCCTGAAGATATGAGAAAAGGTTCTGATCCCTATGGTTTTCCTTTGGAATTACTGATATGTTCAGCTGTTGTTGGATTTTTTGCTATTTTCTTGTTTTTGTGGAGAAGTTTTCGATCGGTAAGTAACCAGTGCTATATACTAAGAGAATGTTCATTTTGTCTTCAGATTGAACAAGTAATATGAGAAACATCTTTTATTTTAAGATAACAAGTTAGGTTATAGTTATGTGGGTCACTAGTGTTAGGTGTGTGGCTACTAGAAACTGAATATGGATTTAGAGGAATTTTTTAAGTGTAAACATTTTAAAGAATTTGTAGAACTAATAATAAAACCTGCGTTTTTTTTTTTTTTAATGATTTAAAAAAATCTATTGTTGAAAGTATTACAGATATCACTCCTTTTAAACTCTACCTTTCTTATTTATTTATGGTCTGTGTTTGTTTTTAACAGTATACTGAATATCTGTAAATATACCACTCAACCTGGAAACAAAAACATTGACTATCACATAGTTAGGTGCTCCTCTCTCATTTCATCCTCCTGCCTCCCTATACTAGAGGTAACATCATCCTGGATCCTGTGTTGATTTTTCCCATGCCTTGAATTTTTTTGGTCCTATCTACATATATTTTTCAAAAGTATAGTATGTGATTTTACTTGGTATTACGCTGTATGTCATGTTTTGGAACTTTTTTATTCTGTGTTGCTAAGAGTTATCCATATTTTTGGATGAGTAATTTTTTTCCATTTTGATTAGAGATTACATTGTAAGAATATACTAAAATGTATAGATTTTATGGTCTTGGACATTTGGATTGTTTCAGTTTTTTTTTTTCTATTATTAGTGCTGCTGTGTATATTCTTTTTAATTAAAACAGTTTTTCAGTTTACATTCATAATTATTTTGTATTAATTTTAGGTGTACAGTGTAGTGGTTAGATACTCATATAATTTACAAAGTGTTTCCCCGGATATTCCCACTATCTACCTGCTATGTATATTCTTATACACATCTCTTGTTGTATATTTTAAAGTTTCTCTTGTGAATAGACTTAGCTGTGAGATTACTGGGTTATAGAGTGTATGGAGGTTCTACTTTAAAAATATAATGCGCCCTGGCCGGTTTGGCTCAGCGGTTAGAGCGTCGGCCTGCGGTCTGGAGAGACCCAGGTTCGGTTCCCGCTAAGGGCGCGTACCTCGGTTGCAGTTTGTCCCCGGCCCTGGTCGGTTGTGCGGGTGGCAGCCACTCGATGTGTTCCTTTCACATCGATGTTTCTCTCTCTCTCTCTGTTCCTCTCTCCCCCTCCCACTCTACCTGAACAAAAAATGGAAAAATGTCCTCTGGTGAGGATAAAAAAAATAAATAAATAAATAAAAATAAAAATATAATGCCAGCCCTGGCCAGTTTTGTTCAGTGGTTAGAGCGTCAGCCTGTGGAACAGAGAGTCCTGGGTTCGGTTCCCGCTAGGGACACATACCAAAAAACCCCCAAAGAACAAATAAAAATAACATTAAAAAAATATATATATATGTATATAATGCCAGATTGTTTTCCAAATTGTCTGTACCAGTTTATACCCTTACTAGCAGTATATGAGGTCTAGAAATCCATTTGATTTCTGTCCTCTCCAACACTTGTTATTTTGCCACTTGAATGGGTATAGAATGTTATCTTATTATGGTCTTGATTTGAATTCCTTGATCACAAATGAGATTGAAGTCCCTTACCAAATTTACTGGCCATATATATTTGTGATTTGGGGAAATAATGGCTTATGTCTTTTGCCCATGTTTTTATTGAGTAGTTTGTAGTTTTTTATTTGTAGGAGTTCTTTATATATTCTTTTTTGTTTGTTTGTTTTGTTAATCCTCACCTGAGGATATTTTTCCATTGATTTTTAGATAGAGTGGAAATGAGGGAGGGAGGGAGGGAAAGAAAGAAACATTGATGTGAGAGAGACACATCAATTGGTTGCCTCTCCCGTGACCCTGACCAGGGCCAGGGATTGAACCCATGACCCTTTGGTCTGTGCGTCAATGTTCTGCTGAGCCAAACTGGCCAGGGCTCTTTATACACTATTATTATTTTTTTTGTCCTTACCCGAGGACATTTTTTCATTTGAAGAGACAGAGAGAGAGAAACATTGACGTGAAAGTGACACATTGAGTGGCTGCCTCCTGCATGACATAACCAGGGCTGGGGACAAACTGCAACTGAGGTACATGCCCTTTAGCGGGAACTGAACCCAGGTCTCTCTGGACCGCAGGCCGACGCTCTAACCCAAGAGCCAAACTGGCCAGGGCGCTTTATACATTCTTGATGCTGTCCTTGTTGATTATGTGTATGACCTATGTCCCAGTATGAAACATCTTTATTTTCCTTAAGATATTTTCTGTTGAGCAGATATTCTTAGTTTTAACATTTTACTTTTAACACGTAAGTCCTTCATTCATCTTCAATCCAGTATTTTGTTTGATATGAGATAGGGATTCAGTATAAATTTTCCCTCTAAGAGAGAACCATTTTTTCTTTCTTTTTTAAAAAAAAAATTTATTTTTAATCTTTATCGATTTTAGAGAGAGAGAAAGATAGAAATATTGATGAGAGAGAACATTGACTGGCTGCCTCCTGCATGCCCCCCACTGGGGATCGGGCCCACAACCTGGGCATGTGCCCTGACTGGGCATTGAACTGGCGACCTCTGGGTGCGTGGGTCAACACTCAACCACTGAGCCACACCGGCTGAAGAGAACCATTTTTTCCAGCATAATGTTTGAATAGTCCCTCCTTTCCCTACTCATCTGCTGTGCCACACGTTAGAGTTCCACTGTAGACCTTTTCGGCACTCTCGTTTCTATTCTTTTAATATGAGATCTTTTATCATTTTTTTAATTCTGGGAAATTTTTTCTGCATTTTGCATTTTTATTTCTCTTTTTTGGGACTACTGTGTTTTAGATGTTAGCCCTTACACCCATGATTTCTATATCTCTTAACTTTAAAAACAATTTTTTTTTGGTAGTTTTCTGTTATTTTTTGAGGTAGTTCCTCAGTCTGATGTTTCAGTTCACTAATTTATCCCTCATCTTTACCCATTCTACTGTACGTTGACTTTTAAATTTTTTTTTCTTTTAATTTTATCCCTATACATCTTCTGTAGATGATTTAAGTCTCTACTATTTTTTATACTTGCTTATATTACCTCAACCCTAAATCTGATCTGCCTACAAGTGGAATTTTTCTTTCATTACTTGAGAGAGAGAGGGGTTAAAGAATAAACAGGTTGTGTTTACTGTTTCTTTATAGTCAGTTCAGATCTATGGCCCTGTGGTAACATTTCTCAAATTGTGTTATTTTGGATATTAGCACTAGGGTAGATGATAATAGGGGCTTCCTGAAATAGTTTGTTTCAGGGTCAAATATGTTTGAGGAACAATGGGTAAAATGAAATTAAACAGATATTTTTAATATACAGTTATTTCAGAGCCTTTAATATGCTAATATACAATGTGAACTTTTTTTTTTTTTTTTTTTTATCCTCACCTGAGGACATTCTTCCGTTTTTTTGTTCAGATAGAGTGGGGGAGAGAGAGAGAGAGAGAGAGAGAGAGAGAGAAAGAGAGAAACATCCATGTGAAAGGGACACATCGAGTGGCTGCCACCCGCACAACCCAACCAGGGCCAGGGACAAACTGAAACTGAGGTACATGCCCTTAGCGGGAACCGAACCCAGGTCTCTCTGGACTGCAGGCCAATGCTCTAACTGCTGAGCCAAACCGGCCAGGGCTACAATGTAAACTTTTAATAGAGAAATTTTAATATGTAGCATTTTTTTCATTGCACAAAGAACACTTTTGGCTAACTTAAATTCATACTAAGGCAATAAGAAAAGTTATTTTTGCCCTGGCCAGTTTGGCTCAGCGGTTAGAGTGTTGACCTGCGGTCCGGAGAGACCCGGGTTCGGTTCCCGCTAAGGGCACGTACTTCGGTTGCAGTTTGTCCCCGGCCCTGGTTGGTCGAGCGGGTGGCAGCCACTCGATGTGTCCCTTCACATCGATGTTTCTCTCTCTCTCTCCCTCCCACTCTATCTGTACAAAAAATGGAAAAATGTCCTCGGGTGAGGATAAAAAAAAAAAAAAAAAGAAAAGTTATTTTTTTGCTCAGCTGGTGTGGCTCAGTGGATTGAGTGTCATCCCATGGAGGGAGAGGTCCTGGTTTGATTCTCGGTCAGGGCACTTGCCAGGGTTTTGGGCTCCATCCCCGGTAGGGGGTGTGCAGGAAGCAGCCAGTCGATGTTTCTTTCATGGATGTTTCTGTCTCTCTCTCCCTTCTTCTCTCTCTAAAAACCAATAAAAACATATTTGAAACAAACAAAAAAAGAAAAGTGTTATTTTTAAGTTGGCAGTATAAGTTAAATAAATTAGATTTACTTGAATGTATATTCGTTTTAATGTAATTTTGTTTAAAATTTGTTTCAGATTAGAAGCCGGCTTTATGTGGGTAAGCTCTTTTTTCTACTTTAGATCTCACCATTGTTTATAATTTTAAAAGATAAGCCTTGGCCTGTGTGGCTCAGTGGTTGGAGTGTCGTTCTGTACACCAAAAGGTGGTGGTTTTGATTGCCAGTCAGGGCACATACCTAGGTTGAGGGTTCGAACCCCAGTTGGGGCACATAAGGGGGTAGGGGGTAGAGGGGAATGGTGTACAGGCAACCAATCAATGTTTCTCTCACATTAATGTTTCTCTTTCTCTCTACCTTCCTCTCTCTAAAAAATAAATCAAAATAAAAATTAAAAACTTAAAACAATTTACACATGATAATATCAACTTTAAAAAAAATTATTGCGTTATATTGCTTAATAACATTTTATAATTTTTAGGTGTACAAGATTATAATTCCACATATGTATATTCTGTTGTGTGCTTACCACCTGAAGTCTAGTTTCCTTCCATTACTATATATTTGACCCTTTTTCCCCATTTTCTCTCTCTACCCCCTTTCCCTATGGTAATCACCATCCACCATTCTGTTGTCTGTGTCTATGAGTTTGTTTAATTAGCTTGTTACTTTTTGTTTTATATTACACATATGAGTGAAATCATATGGTTTTTGTCCTTTTCAGTCTGATCTGTTTCACTTAGGACACTACTTTAAAGATTCATTCATGTTGTCAACATTGGCAATATTTCATCTTTTATATGGCTAAGTAGTATTCCATTGTATATATTTTATACTATGTATTTATACATATCACATGTTCTTTAACCAGTCATCTGTCAGTGGACACTTAAGTTATTTTCATGTCTTGGCTATTGTAAATAAGGGAACATAGGAGTACATATATCTTTATGAATAAATGTTTTCATATTTTAACTTTTTGTTTAGAAAGAGAGAAAAAGCTTGCTGTAGAACTTTCTACACTAATCGAAGAAAAATGTAAACTACTTGAAAAATTTAGCCTCGTACAAAAAGAGGTAAGACATTTTTGAAAATGTTAACATTCATATTAGAGTCAGAGGGCTTTATACTGCTCAATATAGGTACTTCTATGTTAATTTAAGATTGTTAATGCTTTGTTTGCAAAGTAGTAGAGTTCAGTTGCTCTTTCATATTCCTGAGGTTCAATTTGCCTTTTCTTGACTAATGAGGTTAAGCACCTTTGTACATGTTCTTTTTTTTACTTGTTTTTGGTTAATCCTCACTCAAGGATATTTTTCCATTTATTTATTTATTTTTTTAGAGAAAGTGGGAGGGAGTGGGGGTGGAGGGAGAGCGTGAGAGAAACATCGATGTGAGAGAGACACATCATTTATTAGCCTCCTGCATGACCCTAGCCAGAGCCTGGGGTTGAACCTGCAACCCAGGTACGTGCCCTTGACCAGAATCGAACCTGCGGCCCTTTGGTACACGGGCTGACGCTCTTAACTGCTGAGCCAAATCAGCTGGGGCTTTTTTACATTTTTAAAGATATAGTCATCTATCTTTTTCCTTTTAGATATGTAGGATTATTTTCATATATATAAAAATATAAATTTTTTTCTTTATTGATTTTAGAGAGAGAGGAATGGAGTGGGAGAGAGATAGAAACATTGATGAGAGAGAATACCGATTGGCCGCCTCCTACATGACCCCCACTGGGGATTGGGCCCACAACCTGGACATGTACCCTGATGGGGAATCGAACTGGTGACCTCTTGGTGCATGGGTCCACGCTTAACCACTGAGCCACACTGGCTGGGTGGATTTTTTCCCTGTTTTTTGAGTATGAGTGCTTTGCCAGATATATGTGTTGTAAATATCTTCTTGCTCTCTGTGATTGCCTTTTTATTTCAAATGGTGTCTTGGTAAACAGAAGTTTATAATTTTAACATAGTTTAATTTGTCAATCTTTTCTTTATGGTGACTGCTTTTTGTTTCCTACTTAAGAAATTTATGTCTACTCAAAGATATGAAGTATAAATTCTTCCATGTTATCTTTTAGAAATTTATTGTTTTACTTTTCTCCTTTAGTTTTTTTTTTTTTTTTCAGGAACAGAATTTTATTCAGGGCATCTGCAAAGCAGACGGGCTAAGTCCAAAATGGTGTCAGCCTCATTTAGTCTTTATTTTAGTTTGCTAAGACTGTCATAACATACCACAGACTGGGTGGCTTATACAACAGAAATTAAATTTTTTCTCAGTTTTGGAAGCTAGAAATCCAGGACCAAGGTGTTGTCAGGTTTAGTTTCTTCTGAGGTCTTTCTCCTTGGCTTGCAGATGTCCACCTTCTTGCCTGGTCCTCTGTGGTCTTTTCTGGATTCCATTTCACATCAATGATCATTTAACATGTCATTTGTGGCTGGCTATTTTTTTTTAATTTAGCGTAATGTTTTCAGGGTTCATATATGTTGTAGATAGATTTGCCTGTTGTGGACATTTCACATAAATGGAATCATATAATATGTGGTCCTTTGTGCCTTGCTTTTCTCATTTACATAATGTTTTGAAGGTTTATTTTTATTGTAGCAGGTATCACTATTTTTTTTGTCAAGTAGTATCTTCTATCATAGTTTACATGGCCATTTGTCAATTGATGGACATTTGGGTTATTCTCCCTTTTGGCTGTTATTAGTGATCCTGCTATGTGTATTTGTGTACAAGTTTTTGGATGTAAGGTTTTTTTAGATATATATTTTTAGTTCTTTTGGGTATATACCCAAAAGTAGAATGGCCAGATCTATATTAACTTTTGAAAGAACTAGGAAATTGTTTTCCACAGTGACTATGCCAGTTTGCATTCCCAGTTTACATTATTCCAGCAGTTTGTGAGTGTTCTGTTTCTCCACATCCTTCCCCAAACTTGTTATTATACATCTTTTTGATTATAGCCAATGTCTGACTAAGAACTCCATTATTTTTCTCCTAGAGTCTGTTTTTCTTATTCACTTTCCCCCTTGGTTCTCAGTAAAATCTTGTCTTTTTGTTTATTTTTATTACTTTTATTTTTAATCCTCAACTGAGGGTATGCTTATTGGGTTTAGAGAGAGGGGAAAGAGAGAGAAAGAGAGAGAGAGAGAGAGAGAGAGAGAGAGAGAGAGAGAGAGAAAGAGAGAGAGAGAAGGAAACGTCGATGTGAGAGAGAAAATTGACTGGTTTGCCTTCCATATGCACCCTGACCAGGATTGAACCTGCAACCTAGGTATGTGCCCTGAACAGGAATTGAACCCAGAACCTTTTTGGTGTACAGGACAATGCTCCAATCAACTAAGCCATCTGGCCAGGGCAAATCTTGTCTTTTTGAATACCAGATCCTTTTATGTTGTGTATCAGTGCTAGTATAACAAAAATTGTACAGGTAATTTTTTAAATTATTTTTTTAACTCCTCGTCCAATGATATTTTCTCCACTGATTTTTAGAGAGAATGGAAGGGAGGAAAGGAGGGGGGAGAGAGAGAGAAAAAAAAAAAAAAAGATTGATGTGAGAGAGACACACTGATTGATTGGTTGCCTCCTATACACACCCTGGCCAGGGCTGGGGATAGAACCTGCAACCCAGGTACATACCCTTGACCGGGAATCGAACCTGTGACCCTTTGGTTTGCAGGCTTACACTCTAATCACTTAGCCACACCAGCTAGGGTACTGATAATTTTGAAGTAGGTAATACTGTCTTTCTCCAGTGAGAATTTATTATTGCTTCTCACAGGCAGCTGGTCTAGGGATATTTGAAATCTTAGATTACTTTAATCACAGACTGAGGTATTTTGAAATTTGGCTTCAGTTTAAAGGATTAGTCTGTTTCTGGTTTAGATTTGCTCATAAGGTAGCCAGTGTGGGTTGGCATTAGTTTCCTCTTGTTTTTGTAACAAATTACCACAAACTTAGTGGCATAAGGCAACACAGATTTATTCAGCTACAGTTCTGGAGGTCAGAAGTCTAACACCAGTATAAATTAAAGTATTTAAGGCTAAAATTAAAGTATTAGCAAGTCTGTGTCTTTATGGCTCCAGGAGAGAATCTGTTTCTTGCCTCTTCTACCTTCTGGAGGCTGCCCGCATTCTTTGGCACATAGTGGCATCACTCCATTCTCTGCCTCCCTCTTTACATCATCTTCTCTCCTAACTTTGATCCTCGTGCCTCTCTTTTATAGGGCCTATCGGGATTATATTGCGCCACCAATATAATCTCATATATTCGTTCCAGCTCAAAGTCCTTAACTTAATCACATCTACAAATTTTTGTTAGAATTTGGTGATGTCATTATTTAGCCTACCACAGGGTCCCATCCTAAAATCTGAGCTTCATGGCTCATCCTACTCATCAGGTCCTGAACTCCAAATTTGGTCTTCTCAACTCCCAATTCTATTAAAATCTTTGCTCAGTTTCTTATTTGTTGTTCTCTGCCTGTGTGTGTGTGTAAGTAAATGTCAAACACTGGACTTGCTTTTCTGATTATTTTTTCTGTCATACATTCTCACTATTTTGATAACTCTCTGAGGCCTTCAGACATATCTTGTCTTTTGGTATTTTTGTCCAGCTCTTTTTCTTGTTCTTAGCGGAGCAAAACAACTTGGTCTTTCATTTAATCACTTTTAAAAAAAGCATTGAAGTAAGTGCATTTTGCTAAATCCTGTAGCATTGTATGTTTCATTGTCCTTATTTTACATTGTTCTTGGGTGTTCTCTTTATTTTTTAAACATTTTATATTCCCTACTTGCTTTATTTGTTTAATTTGAATTGGAAGTGAAAATTTCTGATGGTCACTTAGTATAAATTTCTCTTTAATGAATAGGTAGACTTTGGACAGCTCTCTTAGTCTTTTTTTTTTTTATCCTCACCCAAGGACACTTTTTTCCATATTTTTGTTCAGACAGAGTGGGGGGGAGAGAGAGAGAGAGAGAAACATCGATGTGAGAGGGACACGTCGAGTGGCTGCCACCCACATAACCCAACCAGGGCCTGGGACAAACGGCAACTGAGGTACATGCCTCCAGTGGGAACTGAACCCAGGTCTCTCTGGACCGCAGGCTGATGTTTCAACCTCTGAGCCAAACCGACCAGGGCTGTCTTAAAGTGTAAAGTTCTGCCATTAGAGTTGCCCAAGCTAGTGGGTTCTGATGTGTTAGCTGCCCTGACTTAGTTCGTTCCAGTGGTCAAATTGGAAGAACTTAAAGCTAAGTAAATCCAAATGAATGTACCATACCTGTGGAAGTAGATTCAGCCTGTTAAATACCTATCCAGATAAAATTTGGAATAAAATTTGTAGTTTTTATTTACTGTGTTGCTTTCTTTCAGTATGAAGGCTTAGAGTCATTAAAGGCTTCCAGCTTTGAGAAGGAGTCAACAGAAGCTCAAAATCTGGAGGTAAAAAGAAATAGTATAATTATAAAACCTGGAGGAATATTCTTTTTTTTTTTTTTGGTATGTGCCTCTGGCAGGAATCGAACCTGGGACTCTCTGGTCCGCAGGCCAGTGCTTCAACTGCTGAGCCAAACCAGCCAGGGCTGGAGGAATATTCTTACTAGATAGCATAAACTTTAAAAAGTAATGTATCTTCTCAAAAGTATTTCAAAGGAAATGTAAAAGAGCATTTCTGGATGTTAAACTTAAAAAAAAAATTAAATATAGGAAATATAACATTAGTACTTAGCATAAAATATTTTAAATATTTGAGCTATTGTTGCTTACTTGTTTTGAGTGAGGTGTTCAGTTCACTGGAATCTCAGGAATACAGAAATTCTTTATTCTTCATTCCTGGGAAATGTATTAAGGTGGCCTTTTTTTTTGGTGCGTGCCCCTATCTGCTAGGGCCTAGCGGGAACTGAACCTGGGACTCTGGTCTGCAGGCTGATGCTCCAACTGCTGAGCCAAACTGGCCAGGGCAAGGTGGCCATTTTTTTTTTTTTTTTGGACTGACTTTGCTCCAGAAAGAAAAAATGGGATTAATTTTCTTAAATTTAGGAATAGTTGGTAACAATAAATTATATACATTTTGGCAGTACTTACCTTTACTTCATACCCCATATATTAGGAGCCGACTAGGATTAGACCAGAGATTTATATTATAAGCAGTGGTGTGCTGGTAAATACTTAACAGCTGGATATCTGAAAAGCAAAAGCCCTTATTTGTAGCATGTGCTGAGTTCTGCTATGTAAGTACTTTGACCGTGACCAATTTCAAGATGTCAACATGATATCACTGATTGTAGATTTTGGAAGACATATACATAGTCAGCTCTCCTGAGCCATGTATGATTTAGCTAATAGTAAGGAAGGAAGATACCATACTTGTTGCTTGGCTAAATTGTGACAGATTACTCTAGGCAGTGGAGTGCCTTACTACTGTTTTGAGATGGAGTGTTATAAAAAGCTTACTGTTAGTAAAGTAGAAGACCATAGACTTTCCTCCTGTGGTACACATGTTCAGTCAGTCCAGCTTGGCAGTTCTCGATCACCAGTGTCTGTAATCATCAGAAAGTCTATGGATCATGATTCAGAATTTTCTATTAGAGTCTAAAGTAAGTTACACATCGAATTCCAAATGAAATTTCTTAATCTTTTCTTCACTTGTTACCTATTAATAGCCTCAAGGACTTGTTGACCCTCTCTTTTAACTACTGTTCTAGTAGTCATTTGTTAGTTTGATTTAAAATTTTTTTAAAGGGTTTAACATGCTAACAACAAGAGCAAAAACTGGAGGGCAAAGGCATTTACTCAAGCTTGGTACTACTGTGGATAAAATAAAACACCAGTTTATTCTCAAGATACTGAATTTACTTAATCTAGTGGTAAGATTAGCTCAATTTTTATTTTGAAATGAACATTTTAGAAGTTTTTCTCTAATTTTAGCAATTTACAAAATGCTTATTTTCATGATCGATAAATTGAATATAAACTAATATGATGCAACTTAAACATTGATGGTTAAATCTAGATAAAATCAAAATGATAAGTAATTTTGGTTCAAGTAAGATAATTCTTACAGAAATAGTCAAGTTTGGGGAAATACATATAAATAAGTTTTTTAACAACTATAATATAGTATGTACTTGTTTTGTTTTTATTTTGGCCTACATTAAATTCTTTGAATTTTTGGTTTATTTTCTAACAAGTTTGTTGAAGGATCACAAATATCAGAGGTATGTTTATTATAGTATTTAATATCCAATTGGAATAATCCAGTAACTAATCATTTTAAATTCAAAAGGTCACAAAAAAGATGTCTTAATTCATTGTAAATTATTATTATGAAACAATCTTGATTGGTTTTTAAATTTATTTTGTCTTTAATTTTATTAAATTGGATTTATTTCTCATTTTTGCTTTTATAATGCTTTAGAGCAGAGGTTGGCAAATTAGACTCTGGGCTTTCCACCTCTTTTTATAAATAAAATTTTATTGAAACACAGCCATGCTTATTCATTTGTGTATTGCCTTTGCTTTCTTACTACATAGGCATAGGTAAATAGTTGGGACAGAGACTGCATGGCCTGCAAGCCTAAAATTTACTCTCTGGCTCTTTATAGAAAATGTTTGCTGATTCCTGCTACAGTTGCTATTATTTCAGTGTTACAAAAATGAACAAATATATAAACTAAACTTATTTAATTTATAGTTATGTCTTTATTATTTGTATCTGTTTCATCCTAACCCCAAATTCCTAGCTCTGTCTTACGAAGTTGGCTTCCTCTTTTAGACAATCTGTGAAAAGCTGAACAGTGCCAAATCTGAATCTGAGGATAAAATACTCTTTCTAGAAAAAGAGTTAAAGGAAGAGAAATCTAAACATTCTGAACAAGATGAATTGGTAAGGCTTCTGTATTTGAGAAGACTGTAGGTAAAAGAAAGTTACTGCATTTTTAAAAATTATGATATTGTTTATTTTATTTTATTTTATTTTTAATCCTCACCTGAGGCCATGTTTTTTAATTTATTTTTGGATAGAGAGTAAGAGAGAGAGAGAGACAGAGAGAAACATTGATGTGAGAGTGAAACATCAGTTGGTTGTCTCCTGCCCACTCCTTCACTAGGGATCGAAAGGGCAACCTGAGTATGTGCGCTGACCTGGAATTGAACACATGACGTTTCAGTGTATGGGATGATGCTCCAACCAACTGAGCAATACAGGCCAGGGCAAATTATGGTGTCATTTAAAGCTGCAATTTTCAACCTTTTTATCTCATAGCACACATAAACTACTAAAATTCTGTGGCATACCAAAAAATATATTTTTTGCCGATCTGACCCCCAAAAAAAGGTGAGTTAATTTTGATTAATTCACACCAGACAGCTATTGTTGTGTTGGCTGTTGTCATTTTTTAAAATCTCACAATCTAAAGCAGTGGTTTTCAAACTTCCTAATGCCATGACCCTTTAATACAGTTCCTCATGTTGTGGTGACCCCCAACCACAAAATTATTTTTGTTGCTACTTCATAACTGTAATTTTGCTACTGTTATGTCTTAGGCGACCCCTGTGAAAGGGTCATTTGATCACCAAAGGGGTCACTACCCACAGGTTGAGAACCGCTGATCTAAAGGAAAGGAGGTCAGTGCCCCTGACTAGTCAGGTATTGCATATTCTAAAAATTCTTATGGCATACCGGTTGAATATCGCTGGTTTAAAGTATTGCATACACTATAAAAAATGTAAAGAATACAGAAGGCTGTAAAGTGGAGAGTAAAACTTTTCGGATCCAATAAGTCTTCATTTCCTAGAGGTTACCATTATTTTGTTAAGTTCCTTGAATATTCCTACAGAAATTTTCTATATGCACCATGGAGGTAGCTCACGTAAACAGTTTAGTTTGAATAAATACATACACAGTGAATTTTATTTTATCACAGGTATGTTAAGAACATTTTAACTTTTCTTTATTTGTTATTCTAATTTTAAATCTCTCTTAAGGAAGATCTTGATGTGTGTGAGATTATTTAGTAAGATATAATGTTTGTGGACTTTTCTGGAGCCTCTAAAAACTTAAATATCATGAAGTATTAAAGATGAGATAAAATGCTGTTATATGACTTTCATGTAAAATTCCTTTAAGCAAATGGCTGAAAATATTTCTTAATTTGAACCCTCAAGTTTTTGTGGAAAACTTATTAGGTTAACGATATATCTAATGTATGTGGCATCTTACAAACTGGAACAGTTTAGTAAATACTTATTTATTGATTGATACTATCTTTTCAGATGGTGGATATTTCAAAAAGGATACAGTCCTTAGAAGATGAATCAAAATCACTCAAATCACAAGTAGCTGAAGTAAGTTGTGTTAGTCCAATAGGTCTGTTGCTTTTTAAAATTATTTTTATTTTATTATTACTTTTATGATTAGAAAATAATATATAATACTACAATTTGGGATATAGGGGTCTTATATATGTTTTATATAAGGTACCTCAGGAAAGTTTATTATTTTATAGGACAAGTATTTATTGAACTATTGCTATGTACTGGTCACTGTTGTAGGTGATTGGCACTTACATTAGTAGACAAAATAGACAGAAAAGCACTCATAGAGTTTAAATTCTAGTAAGAGAGATAATAAAAAGTTAACTAAACTTCCTGCATAGTGCACAGAAGGTTACGAGAAGTTAAATCAAGGTTTAAAGTCACATGGGAAGTTAGTGTGGGAGCCATGACTAGATCCTGATTCTAGGCCAGCCTTTTTTCTCTTCTATGCTCCCTCTTCTATTAATATTGGCATGGTTTTTTATTTTAATTCCATGTTTTAGGGAATATGTGTAAAAAAGAGCTATTGTATCGAACTAATTGTTATAAACTTGATATCTTGTATTTTACTTAGGCCAAAACAACCTTCAAAATATTTCAAATGAATGAAGAACGACTCAAGGTAGCTATAAAAGATGCTTTGAGTGAAAATTCCCAACTTCAGGAAAGCGAGAAACAGGTTTGTACTATATAGGGACTCTTCAACTTGTATTTATAAATCATCTGGGCTGACCCATGCTAGGGGCAGGAAAAGACTTTTCTTGGAGAACACGACAGCAGGACAACCTCCTGTATATCCTCTTGTGTCTCTTTTGTATAGGATACATCTTAATACAAGTAGGGTATGGCATGTTACATGGGATATAAGGAATGGTAAGAAATGATGAAATCTAACATATGTATATCTCGGAAAACTTTTTAATATAAATTTATTATGTTGATCAGTTGAGGAATGTTTAAGTGTCTGTTATTTTACATTACCACCCTTTTGAAAGTTCTTTGCAAACAGGAGCCCACCCTTCCTTTCCTACTTCTATCCCTCCCTCCCTCCCTCCCTCTCTCCCTCCCTCCCTCTTTCTTTCCATCCCTTCCTCTCTTTCTCCCTCTCTTCTCAGCAACACATTGTATTGTATAATATCTACTGATACACTTAAATATATAAATAAGTATGATAAGATAATATGTGTGTTTTTTTTTGTGGGGATTGAATTTTAGCTTTTACAAGAAGTTGAAGAATGGAAAGAACAAGTTAATGAACTTGATAAACAGAAAATAACTTTGGAAGACCACAAAGTATATACAACACAAGTTCTGTGTGAAAAAGAAAATCAGATCAAGGTAAATGGCCCTGCTGGTTTTAGTGACTGAGTCAGCTAGAATTTTATACTGATTCTAACATTTGAAAATGTTTGTTTTAATAGTTTTTATTTTGACCATTTGGCCAATTTGAGGATGTGTACTTTTTTGACATATGTTTCGGTTTGTTCGGGTATTGTCATCCTAGCTGCCAAATGCTCTTTTTGAACAGCAAAGATGACAATATATATATCTCATATATATATGACATGTCTCAGCATTTCGTTTGCCCCTTTATTCCTCTCCTCATTTTAGTGTGTATATTAAGTGAGGAAAGAAAAAGAATAGTGAATTTTACCTTTGTCTTTAGACTGCCATCTGTTTCTGTTGATACGAGGTTGGAAAGAATTTCAGAAATTGGACAGATGAAGTTATATATATTGGCTGAATATCTTTAATAATTAGAGTAGTTGGTGTATGTACTTTCACAGAGATGAATACATATATATATATTTTTTGTTAATCCTTACTTGAGGATACTTATCCATTGATTTTTTTTTTTTTGGAGAGAGTGGAAGGGTGGGAGGGAAGGGGAGACAGAGAGAGAGAGAGACTCATTGATTGGTTGCTTCCCACATGACCCCCAGCTGGAGCTGCGGATCCAACCCGCAACCCAGGTAACATGCTCTTGACAGGAATCGAACCCGAGACCCTTTGGTCAATGGGCCAGCGCTCTAAAGGCTGAGCCAAATCAGCCAGGGCCAGAGATGAATACTTTAAAAAAAGAAATCTAATTGAAACTTGTCTCCCTCTCCTACCCCTTTTCCTGCCTACTTGTTTAACTATTATGCTTTCAAGCTGCAAACAGATACTCAGGTGTGAGTATCAAGTAATAAGAACTAAAACTCACTTTCTGTAATCTACATAGTGAAGTGGATGTTATCGTGAAAGCTATACATTTGTGCTGTTTGTGTTGCTACTAAGAATGTTTTCAAGATTCCATCTTTAGGAGTTGTATTCATAATTTGGCATATTGTTTTATATTTTCCCCCTAAATTTTGTCTGCTAAAGGACTTGGAATTCTTCCTAAACAAAACAAGAATGAAAAACAAAACAAAAATGAGATGCTAATCTCAAATTCTACTCAAAGATATAGGCCATGTTATTTGTGCTTGGAACTCTCAAGAGGGAGCTGATTGAAAGGTGGAAATTATAGGGCAGAATGGGTTTTTAGGTGATTCCTTCCACAGAAATTCATCGTACAGTTATTTTATTATTTTATAGAGCTAAAAAATCTTCTTTCAAGAAAATGCAAAAAGTACTGTTGGAAAACCTCTGATGCTCCACTTCAGATTCTCTTAATAATTTATTTTTCTTTATGTCAGTTAAACTCTCCAGCTAGTTGTTTACTTTAATAAATTGAATCTGAAATCTGAGCATTTCATATATCGTGTACCTCACTTTCAGATTTGTTTGACTTCACACAATTTACTCTCACATTAATGACCACTCTTATTTGTGGCATGTGAGAAATGTCATATGAGAAAACGTATTGTCATCTGGCCCGTGTGGCTCAGTGGTTGAGTGTTGACTCATGCACCAAGAGGTCGCCATTTGGATTCCTGGTCAGGGCATGTGCCCAGGTTGTGGGCCCAGTGGGGGGCATGCAGGAGGCGGCTAGTTGATGTTCTGTCTCATCAATGTTTCTGTCTCTCTCTTACTTCCTCTCTCTCTAGAATCAATAAAGGGGGGGGAAAAAAGAAAATATATTGTCACTTTATAGTCATGTGATATATTTAGCAAAAACGGGCCATTATCAAAAATTGTATTTGATTTAGGAATAACTACTTTTTCTTTTAAGTGTTCAGAATTTAATAGTCAATAAATGTTAGGTTTTTCAGAGTATTTATATATCTCAATACCAGGTGGAAAATAAGAGCTTATGTACTGTTATTTATGTGCATTGATTTTTAAACTATAAATACACTTTCAGAAGTTGTAAATCATTGGCATGAAGTATCACCCTCTTTTTTTTTCCCTCCCTTTGCTAAATGTCAAGTCTCTGACTGAACGCTTGCTAAAGATGCAAGATTGGGCTGCTGTGCTTGGAGAAGACTTAACGGATGATAACTTGGAATTGGAAATGAAGAGCGATTCAGAAAATGGTGCACCCTTAGGTGTTAAATGACATATCCTCTTGCTAAAAATGACTAGCTCTTGTATTTCCTTTTGGCTCCCCATGTGCACAATGTTTTTATATACTTGTGCTTTGATCTATTTTGTCCATCTTTCTCTAATACTCTGTCCCTTGCTCATCATCCCTTATTGTTAACCTTCAGCTAGAATACTACCTTTTCATGAAATCTTTCTCCAACTCCTCAGACAGACTTACAGCCTCCTTCCTGCCTATTCTTTTTATATATTGTACATATTGTCATTATGGCAGTTTTCACATTGCTTCATAATCATTTCAGTACCTGTTTTCCCCTGCACTGTAAGCTAATCAAATGGTTGGGTAAGTAGTTTGAAAAATGAGTGTTATATAAATAAATACCTCAGGACTTTTGTTTTGCTTTATTTAGATAGTTCAGATGGTTATAGTACTTTAGTCTTGGCCACCCCAAATTGTTACTGGTTTCAGTCTGTAAACTCATGAAAATATTATGTTCACTACACTGCTCACTGTATTCTCAACTGATTCCTTTGACTTAAATTTTTTTTGTTATTTTGACAATTATAAATTCATAGGAAGTTACAAAGGAGTACAGAGAGATCTTATGTATCTTTCACCTATTTTCCCCCAGTGATAGTTCTTCTGACTTTTGTGTCCTTTCTCTTTTCTCTCCCTTTACCCCTGCATAATTAACAAATTTATTAAGGAGAAGAAATTATTTTTTTTTAAATTCCTTGGATGACAGCATTAATATGTTGGAGGAAAATTAGATTTCCAAAGTAAATACATGCAGTTTTGTTTGTACTGTTTCACTTCTGCTTTATTTTGTAAGAAATCTTTTTCTAATGAGAAAACTTATGCTTGTTTAATTCTATTTTAATTTGGAGTAAAATTCCACTCATATTTTGTATGGTGAAGGAATCTAAGAATAGTCGAGACTGTGGGACTATATTTAGGTGAATGCTGAATCCTTGTTATAACTCTGTTCTTAGAGTTAATGGATAAGCTTATTAATCGATATGGCACTACCAGTGCTTTTGTTGTTTAACTTTCTGGCAGCGGGTCCAAGGCCATTCCTCCTTATACCAAATTCATTATTATAGCAAGAAGAGGGATTATAAGGCTCTAGTCGAGTGAATTAATAAAATCATTTGGATGTCTCTTGTGGCATTGCATTTTCTTTTCTAATTTATTGTTATGTTTTTGTTTTTTACAGTAGATAATCACCCAAAAGGAGCATTGCAGAAGCTGATTCATGCTGCTAAGGTTTGCATTACTACATAAATATAAAAAAAATAAAGAAATAGAACATGGATTAAGCCCATATATCTTTAGTAACTGTTTTATTTATTTATTTATTTTTTAATCCTCACCCGAGGACATTTTTCCACTTTTTGTTCAGGTAGAGTGGGAGGGAGAGAGGAACAGAGAGAGAGAGAGAGAGAGAGAAACATCGATGTGAAAGGGACACATCGAGTGGCTGCCACCCGCACGACTGACCAGAGCCGGGGACAAACTGCAACCGAGGTACGGGCCCTTAGCGGGAACCGAACTTGGGTCTCTCAGGACCGCAGGCCGACGCTTTAACCGCTGAGCCAAACCGGCCAGGGCTTTAGTAACTGTTTTAAAAGTCCATTGTATAGTTACCATATAAGTGATCAGAATTTTCAGTAGTGATCAGAATGATCTTCATCAATTGCTTTTGCCTTTTTTACAACAACTTTAGAAATCCATATAGTTAATTATTAGAATTTATCATAACAAAAAATTTCAAGGTCTGTATTCATTTCTTTTGGATAAAGAATATATTGAAAATGTTTGCTCTATTTTCTCTCATCTCTCTCTGAGCATTTTTCTTCCTCTGGTCTTAATATATTTTCCTATCTCTATTGCCCAGTATTCTATTTTGAGAAGTAAATACTACAGTTTCATTTTCTTTTGGTTTATTCCTTCTTTTCCATCCTAGTAGTGGTGTCCTGATCTTTATTGATCTATGACAAGTCTTGGTAATGTAGTTTGAAGATTACTTTTATAAAAACTTTCATGGCCCTGGCCAGTTTTGCTCAGTGGTTAGAGTGTTGGCCCATGGACCAATGAGTCGCGGGTTAGATTCCGGTCAAGGGCACGTACCTTGGTTGTGGTTCATTCTTGGCCCTGGTCATGTCGTGTGGGAGGCAACCAGTCAATGTGGCTCTATCGCATCAATGTTTCTCTCTATCTCTCTCTCTCTTCCTCCCTCCCACTCCAATGATAAATAGAAAAATATCCTTGGGTGAGGAATAAAAAAACACAAAAACACTTTTATGTATTGAGGCCCTGGACATGTAGCTCAGTTGGTTAGAGCTTCATCCCAATATGCCAAGATTGTGGGTTCGATCCCTCGTCAGGACACATAGAAAAGTCAACCAATGAATGCATAAATAAGTGGAAAAACAAATCGATGTCTCGCTCTCCCTCTCTCTCTCTCTCCCCCCTCCCTTCCTTTCTCTCTCTAAAGTCAATACAAGCCAAACCAAATAAAAAAATTATGTGTTGAAAATAAACAGGATGAAACTAGACACAGTTTAAGCATCCATCACTGATCTTCACTCTCCCTGTTCTGAAATTTACAACTATTGATGACTTTGCTAACTTTCTAAGATGGGTGTTACATTGCTACTTTGTACATTCTAGGCAGTAATTTCATCAACGTGATAAAAGAGCTCCAAAAGGCTATGATGGGCCTGGCCAGTGTGGCTCAGTGGGTTGAGAGTCATCCCATGGACTGAGGTTCTGGTTCGATTCCCGGTCAGAGCACATGCTTGGGTTTTGGGCTTGATCCCCAGTAGGAGGAGTGCAGGAGATATTTCTCTTTCACACTGATGTTTCTATCTCTCTAAAAAAATCAAATAAAAATCAAATATATATATATTAAAAAAAGGTTGGGATGGTGTTTTGTGATTTTTTTGTTTGTTTATTTACCTGATTAATGTTGCTGTTTTTCTTCTCCCATTCTTTGAAGTTGAAGGCTTCTTTAAAAACCCTCGAAGGAGAAAGAAACCAAATATACATTCAATTAAATGAAGTAGATAAAACAAAGGAAGATCTTACAGGTAGGTAATCTACATATGTATTTTTAAAGTTTTTCTAAATAAATACATCTCCTTATACAGAATGGTATCATGAATTGAATCAATTAGTAGAAAATTAAATTTTTGTTTTAACTTTTGTTTCTTAGTTGTGAAAAATTAGTCCTGAGTGTTTTGTTGTTAGTAAAGCCTTGTCAGTTTTCACCATATTTGTATAAAATTAAAATAATGAAATTAAAAAACATGTAAAATCATACTTATGTTTTATATGTGTGTATGGTTTGAGATATTAAAAAGTAGCAAATTAGACCCTAGCCAGTTTTGCTCAGTGGTTAGCGTTGGCCAGCGGATCAGAGAGACCCGGGTTCGGTTTCTACTAAGGGCACGTACCTCAGTTGCAGTTTGTCCCCGACCCCAGTTTGGGTTGTGTGAGTGGCAACCACTCGATGTGTCTCTCTCACATTGATGTTTCTCTCTCTCTCTTCCTCCCTTTCTCCCTCCTGCTCTATATGAAGATAAATGCAAGAATATCCTCGGGTGAGGATAAAATAAAAAGTAGCAAATTAGCCCTGGTCGGTTTGGCTCAGCTGTTGGAGCGTTGGCCCAAGAACCCAAGAGTCGCAGGTTCGATTCTGGTCAAGGGCATGTACCTCACTTCTGGTTTGGTCCCCGGTCCTGGTCAGGGTCATGTGGGAGGCAGCCAGTCGATGTGTCTCTCTCACATCAATGTTTCTCTTTCTCCCCCTCCCACTCTATCTGAAGATAAATGGAAAAATATCCTCAGGTGAGGATTAAGAAAAAAATAGCAAATTAAAACTGTTTTAAAAACTTTGTTAATTTCAAAATTGGCCTTCAGCAGCGGGATGTTTTACAGATCTATTTGCAGTATAGTTTTCTTCCTTAATGTACATGCATAGTATATTGGCACGTACAGGAGTGATATTAGACCTGTAGAATAGAAGTTTTTTCTTTTTTGTTAATCCTCACACTAGGGTATTTTCCCATTGATTTTTAGGTAGAGTGGGAGGGAGGGAGGAAGAGAGAGAGAGAAACATCAGTGTGAGAGAGAAACATTGATGTGAGAGAGCTGTATCGATTAGTTGCCTCCCGCACTACCCTGACTGGGGCTAGGGTTTGAACCTGCAACCCAGGTACGTGCCTTGACTGGGAATGGAACCCTTGACCCTTTAATCCGCAGGGTTGGTATTAGCCACTGAGCCAAACTGGCTATGGCTGGAAGTTTGGTTTTTTTAATTGAAACATTTTTACTTATGTTTTTTAAATAGTTGATATAAGTAACATCTCATTTTATTAAAAAAAGAAAAGAAAAGAATTTCACCATAACCATTTGCATAAAAAAAGAATGGGAGGACATACTCAAATGTCAGCAATGATTTATCTTTGAATATGGAATTATGGATAGATTCTACTTTTTACTTATCTATATTTAAAAAAATTTCTACAGTAAGTGAATTTTATTTATATGAAAACATTTTTTGAAAAAGTTGAACCACTTAGTGTCAGCCATTTACTCTCCCACTAATTGGGATTTTTTTCCTCCCTGAAATGTTTTAGAAAAGAAAAAAGATTGAATCACCCAAAGATACAGATTATTAGAAAAAAGATTATAGCCTCATTCACATAGTATTGGTAGTTGGATAATTCTTAGATTTTGAAAAGTAATATTAACTTAAAAATAAAGTTCTGCAATATGTACTGCAAAGTACTGAAAGCCATGGGAGAGTCACTCCCTGGAGGAAAGATAGGGAACCTGCTTTCAAGGGAGCTGCCTTTCAGTTCATTAACAGAGTCTCAGCACAGAGCTATTCAGTAAGTGCTGGAATACCAAGGGATTTGCTCACCAGTTACTCCATCCCTTAATACGATTGCTTGGCAAATCTTTTATTATTTTCCAAAACTAGTATTTTGAGACACTGTGTCTGTCTGTATCCTCCTTCCAAATATAACTTCCCTCTTTTAATGGATCATGAAAGAGACATTTCTACAATTGATCTTCTCTATTCATAACATGAAGGTTTTCTTTTAAACTACGTTCCCTCCTTATTTTTATTTTATTTTATTTTATTTTTTTATCCTCACCCGAGGACATTTTTCCATTTTTTTGTTCAGGTAGAGTGGGAGGGAGAGAGAGGAACAGAGAGAGAGAGAGAAACATCGATGTGAAAGGAGCACATCGAGTGGCTGCCACCCACACAACCAACCAGGGCCGGGGACAAACTGCAACCGAGGCACATGCCCTTAGCGGGAACCGAACCCGGGTGTCTCAGGACCGCAGGCCAACGCTCTAACCGCTGAGCCAAACCGGCCAGGGCTACTTTCCCTCCTTAGTAATCATTTACAGTGCTATTTTAAGATACAGAGGATTTGAAACAAAATAGTTACAATAGAAGTACAAGGATATAATGAAGATTTAAGTGTTGGTTTCTTGTGTGTTTTTTTAATAGAAATGATCCGATTTTAATAATGATAATATTTATCATTAATGTCTGTTAATTGACTGTTTTTGGCAATGGTTTAAAACTTCAGTCAACAGGTATAAACTTAAAAATAACTTGCAGATTTTCTGTTGGAAAGAATTTAGTTTATTAATAATTATTTTTAGGCCCTGGCTGACTTGGCTCAGCAGTTAGAGTGTCGGCCCGCGGACCGGAGAGTCCCGGATTCGGTTCCAGCTAAGGGCACGTACCTTGGTTGCAGTTTGTCCCCGGCCCCGGTTGGGGTTGTGTGGGTGGCAGCCCCTCAATGTGTCTCTCTCACATTGATGTTTCTCTCTCTGTTTCTCCCTCTCTCCTTTCTGCTCTATCTGAAGATAAATGCAAAAATGTCCTCAGGTGAGGATAAAAAAAAAATAATAATTATTTTTAGTAATTTTTTTCTGTATGAAATGTTAATATGCAACTCAGAATATTTACTCCTTTAACTGTGACTTTAAAATTTTTTCTGTAGAGTGTATTAAAAATCTCCAGACTGAACAAGCATCTTTGCAGCCAGAAAATGAACATCTTGAAAATGAGATTCAAAAGCTTCAGCACAAACTTAAAGTAATGACTGAACTATATCAAGAAAATGAAATGATACTTCACAGGTAATAAAATTTAGGTTTTTATGTTGATACTTCTACTGAATGGCAAGTAAAATAGCTTAAAATGTTGTATGTAACATTTATGTGATTATTCAAAGTTCTTAGTTTATGATTGGATTTTATTTTATCAATTTACTTTTAAAGAAAATTATTTGATCTTGAAACACTTTTTCTTCAAGAACGAAAATGTAAATTATATTGGACTTGACAGACTAGTTCACAGAATCCCTTTTAACTTCTTACAAGTAATCAGCAAATTATTGCTAATTAAATTTCCTAATAATGCAAGCTAGGTCAGGGAATCTGAGTGGACATGTTAGTAATTGCATTCTGCCCATTATTCCATCTCTGATATATGTAAAACTGATTTCTTTCTCCTGTGTAAATTGCTGCTACCAAATTGTTCCTTGTTTCAGTAAATGGAAATTTTATTTGCTGGGTTGCTGAAAATGATCAAGCTATTCTTGACTTCTTTTTTTTATATCCCATATTTGTTTTATCTTCAAATTCTGTCAGCTTTCCTGTATCCTGAACTGACTACTACTTTACACCACCTCCTATACTACTAATCTGATCCAGGTCATCATACATTACTATCTGGTTCATTGCAGTAGCATCATGAGTGGCCTTTCTTATACTCCTAACTTCTTGCTCTAATTTCAGCAGCATGACCCTTCTAAAAATAATGAGTATTGCCACTCTCTTGCTTAGAACCTCCAGGTGCCTTCATATCACACTCAGAATTTAATCCAAAACTTTATCATGGCCTACAAGATCCTACAAAATCTGGCCCGTGGCTACCTCTTTAATTTTAGCTTATTTATTTTCTTTTTCTCTAACTACATTATAGCTACCCTAGGCTTCTTGATGATCTTGAGCATGCCAAGCACATTTATGCTTCTGGGTCTTTTGAATATAAAAGGGATTATTTGAGTGAAAAATACTTTTGAGTGTATCTTTTGGACAAAAATATGATTGGTTATAGAATTTTAATGATTAATGTTTAAAACTTCAAAGAAGAAAAATTTCTGTAGATACTCAAAGTAAGGATGAGAAGCTTAATAGAATCCTAGCTGTATGTGTGTTGTTCACATTGTGATTTCATTCACTAGTTTGAAATGCTTTGAATTCCAGAAATATTGTATATTCCATTCTTATATTTAAAATATTCACTACTAAAATTCAGTGAATTATGACACCGGTTTTTCTTCAGAGTAGAATATAGAGAATTGACAGTACTAATAAAATGTTAATTTAAAATTTTTGCCTCATACAGTGTGATTTAGATTGTCATTTTCTAGATGTTGGATTGATGTTTTTTACTACTGATATATTTCATTACTAGCACTTTTCCAATATAATATTGAAGAGAAGTGAAATAGTATAGAAGCTTGATGTGTTGCTTTAAATATATGAAGTAAGATGTGATTTTTTCAAGTTATATTGTTGGGTTTCCTTTCACAGTGTAATTTTCATTGTTAATAAACGCACCCAAATTCAAGGGGAAGGTTCATAGATTAACTATCAGTGGGAGAGGTGTCAAAGAATTTCTGGCCATTTTTAATCTGCACAGTCTATAAAAACACTTCTCTTCCATCTTCAAACAATTACACTTTTCCTAAGGTGATGGCTTTTATTTTCTTGTAACGCTTATGAAACCATTGACCTGGGGAGTGCTTTCTAAGCCGCAGGTAATGTAGTGTGTAGAATATAAAACATTCACGGCTGCCTTGTAGAATTTCTTCAGTTGTTCTTCATGTTCCTCCCAAAAGTTCATGAAGAAGGGGAGACATTCATAATTAAGACTCCAAATGTATTTTTCTGTGATGTTCAGTTAAGTATTTCTTGGGGGACCAGTGTTATTAATGATACCATTTGAAAAAACTTGGGTAATTTAGTACAATGGAGTCACTACTTGCTAGCTCTATGCCTTGATTCTTTTTTTAAAAATAGTAACCTTCTGGTAGAATTGTTTTGGTAATTCAATTGGTAATTGAAGAAGATAATACATGTAAAAGTCTAATAACAGTTTCTGGCACATACTAATGGCAGGTAAGTTACATATTATCATTAGAAGAACTAAAGGTAGTAAGCAGGACTACTACTTTTATTTACTTTGGGTTCTTTTTTTTTTTTTTTGATGAGCTGGCCTGGAAGACTAATCAATATTTCACAACTTAACAACCAACCAAAAGATTATTGAAAGAGTTCATTAGTTGGTCATGGTTCTTTATGTAAGAAGTCTTGGTAAATAACATATAATCATAATAATTTTTATTAATATTTACCTTTGATAATCTTATTTTTATGATGAATTCTTATAGGAAACTCTTGAAACTTATATAAGTAGTAGTACTGTTATTAGACAAGATGCTTTATAATTTGAGTTTGTAATATTCTATGCCAGCAGCATTTACACAGATACTTTGTTTTCCTTGCATGTGATGTTTCTTAGTGTTATTATGCAAATTGCTCTATGGGAAGCACCAGTTGTGATATGATTAAAGAGATATAATTGATTATTTTATGACATATAGTAAAAGAAATAAAACACTTTTTGTTTCAAGGAAATTAACAGTAGAAGAAAATTACCGGTTAGAGAAAGAAGAAAAACTTTCTAAAGCAGATGAAAAGATCAGCCATGCAGCTGAAGAGCTGGAGACCTATAGGTATTAAATATATTTTACCCCTTACTTTTTGAGGTGGGAAGGGTATCCAAAAGCCCAATACCAGAAAAAATAATACAGCAATAACAACAAACAATAAAACAATGTATTTTTGTTTCATTATTTTCATTTAGATGTTTTGCTATAATGCAATTATACAGAAATTATAAAAAGGCAAACCTTTCTTCGGCATGTGAGATTTTAAATCTCTCACATTAGTTGTATTAGAACATGGGCAATCATTTTATTTTAATGTCAAGAAAATTATGAATTACTCATTAATTTCAAAAAGTCTTTCCTCTTTGGTATAAATGAATTCAAGAATTATGCCACAAAAAGACTAGTAAGCCACAATTAAAATTCTGAAGAAGTGTTTATAAGACGATAAGTCTATCAGCAGTTTACCAAATAGCTTTGAGACTTTATTTTACATTAGGGAGTATAAGCTTGAGTCTTATCCAAAAGAAGAAATTATCTTGTTAGTCTTATAAAAGTGACAAGTAACATTTTATTTCACACTGGGCGTTAATTTTCTAGAATTCTATTAAGAATATAGAAGTCTGAGTAAATCTTCCAAGATCATACTTCTTAATAAATATGAACCAAAGTACTATATAAATCTTTGCATGACCTTTGGTTTGGGTAAACCTAAGTAATAGTACTCTTAAATCTTAATTTTAAAATTGTATCAGAAAAAAATATCCTTTAGAACCTCTTAAAGATGATTAATGTGGAGTTCTGAACTTTTTTTTTTAAACGTGAAACAAAACATTCTAGGTGCTTTCATTAATATTTCCAGTATAGAGAGTGCATTCAATCATTTTTTTAATTTAATCCTCACCAGAGGACATTTTCATTTATCTTCAGACAGAGTGGGAGGCAGGAAGGGAGGGAGAGAGAGAGAGAGAAACATCAGTGTGAGAGAGACACATTGATTGGTTGCCACCCCAACCTGGGCCGGGAACAAACTGCATCCGAGGCACATGCCCTTGGCTGGGACTCCCTGGTCTGCAGGCTGATGCTCTAACCGCTGAACCAAACCGGCCAGGGCTCAATTATTTCTTAATATATATTAATAGTAGGATGATTATTTTTTCCGTGTAGAAAGCGAGCCAAAGATCTTGAAGAAGAATTGGAGAGAACTGTTCATTCTTATCAAGGGCAGGTATGTGTGTGTGTGTATTACTTAAAACAGTTCTGATTTGTTTGAATAGATAATTCTATTTTCATGTAGGAATATAGTTACTTGACTAGTTGTACACCTTTCTTGAGGTTTTACATGTGGCTGTGGAACGTTTCTAGGGAGCCAGAGATTTTGGGAAAAGAGATCTTGTTTAAAGTTGCCATGTCTTCTGCTTTGGGAATGTGGATTGCATAAATAAATAACATGTAGGGTGGGGCAAAAATAGATTTACATTTGTTCATATGGAAAAAGATATGCAGGTTATGATTACAATAGCTTTATTAACTGTTTCACGTACTCACAACTGTAAACCTACTTTTGTCCCACCCTGTATATAAGCACTGGGGTCTCACATTCAGTCCAGCTGGTGTCTCTTAATTGGCAACTCATTATAGTTGATTATTACATAAAATAGAAGTTTATTAGATAAAAAGTTTAGTTGTCTTTACATTTGATTGTGTTTTAAAAGTATAATAGAGTAGATCATGTGTATATGAAAATTTGCTTTAAAATGTTACTGACTTTTCAGAGATACTTGAGTTACTTTTGAGTTTATAAGTTGTGTACGAAATCATAGTGGTAGATGTGGATGTTTTTTACTAATGAAAAGTAGTTATCAGTAGTATTATAATGGTTTTCTTTTGCAGATTATTTCTCATGAGAAAAAAGCACATGATAATTGGGTAAGTATTACATTCTCTTAGGTTCTTTTTCCTAATTTAAAAGAGCACTGTAGAAGGTACTAAAATTAAAGGTAGTATTTTTAAAAATCATTTTCTTTTACCATGTTCCTTATGAACTAAATACTTTGTTATGGCACAGTTATTCCCAAAATCTAACTTTTCCTTCTCTACTTTCAGTACATTGCTTCTTTGCAAGGAGCTTATACTCTCTGTGGGGGACATGATATAATCTTCATGGCTTCATTGTTTTAGGGCACTGGATTGCCACTGATTACTGTGGACAAATTGAAATTTTCTGGGCCTGTGTACTCATCTGTAAAACAATTGGATGATACCTACTGATTCCTAAGGCCCTTTCTAGGTCTAAATGTTCTAGAAATTCTAGTATCTAGTATCTGATTCCCAGTGAATTACTTGATACACATTAAGAAAAAGGCCATCACGAGAAATGTCATGTCAGTCTCCCAGAGGAACTGTGTGAGTAAATCATAAGGATGCAGAGATTTTGACTAATTGTAAGAACAATCTCTGTTAGAATTGTTATTATAAAGAGCCAGCCTTAGGAGGATGTGTCCCTAGGAGTCTTCAAGGAGAGACAGTGTGCTCAGTGGGTGAATACATGGGGTCTGGACTCATCCTGTGTTGGTGGATATCCTGGCTCCATCACTTCCTCCCAGTTTCCTTACCTATCATATAGAGATATCATTAGTACCTATTTTAGAGAGTTATTGTAATGATTAAATAAGATCATTCTTGTACGGCTGCTAGCCAGGTACCTGACACATTGTAAACACTTAGTCAATGTTACCTGTTCTTATCACTGTGGTTATACTGAAGCTAGGGAGATATTTCTTAGCCATGGATGTTTCTTGGAGTGGAGATTCCAGCTTAATGGGTGAGAAATTAGATATGTCAGATGTTAAGGTCCTTCCCAGTCGAGAGTTCAAGTGAAGATTTGTTATTGAGTTGAGCGGAGCTTGGATATGAATTTAGTCTTCACCCCTCCTCACCACTTTCTAAATACTCAGATGCTGATTATTTTTTTAAAGATGGATAGGAATTGATGTTTATTAGTATCTTTCATGTTGTAGGCACTGTATTTAGACATTTTACATGTATTACTTACTCAGTCCACACAATAACTCTATAAATAGGTCTTAACAAATTCAAGTTTTACAAATGAGGAAACAGCCTAAGGTCACTTGATTAGAGTGTGAAGAGTGGAGATTGAAATTTTGACCTTTAAGATTCTGTCTTATGCTTTTTCTGTTACTTTCCTGTGGCAAGTACCATGCTCTTTTTTTTTCAATCCTCATCCAATGATATGTTTTTTTATTGATTTTTAGAGAGACGAAGGGAGAGAGAGAGAAACATAGATGTGAGAGAAACATCCATCAATTGCTTCCCGTACGTGCCCCAACTGGAAATTGAACCAACAATCTTTTGGTGCATGGGACAGTACTCCAACCAACTGAGCCACCCAGCCATGCTCATTTATATATGTTCTTACCTCACATTTAAGCTTCTCAAGATAGGTACTGTTTTTTTTTTTCCTTAATACTTATACCTAATTGAATGCTTTTTTATATTTTGTAAGTATTCAGTATTTGAATACAGTGTTTTAGAATACATTGTGGTCATTTACTGAAATTACAGTTTTATGTAACCTTTGGGTATATAAGTTTTTCACAAATCTGTATTCATTTGCCATCAGTTTATTTTTCTAATTTTTTGTTGTAAGTGTATCATTAATACATACTATACTATAATCATAGTAGAACTTTTGGCTTATTAACTGTACATTTTTTGGTGCCTTATTCTAAGGGTAAATATGTTCCACTATGTAGAAAACATTTAGAAGTAATTTAGGTTCTGCATTGTTAAAAGTTAAACGAATGGCCCTGGCCGGTTTGGCTCAGCGGTTAGAGCGTCAGTCTGTGGTCCAGAGAGACCCGGGTTCAGTTCCTGCTAAGGGCATGTGTCTTGGTTGCAGTTTGTCCCTGGCCCTGTTGGGTCGTGCGGGAGGCAGCCACTCGATGTGTCCCTTTCATGTCGATGTTTCTCTCTTTCTCTCTCTCCCTCCCACTCTATCTGAATAAAAGATGGAAAGGTGTCCTCGAGTGAGGATTTAAAAAAAAAAAAAAGTTAAACGAATGGTATTTTATTAACTAAAATTGTTATGGTATAATTTACTCATGGAATCTTTTTGGCAGTGAGTGCTAAAATATGGTTAAGCTATGTTTTTTGTGAATATTTACATAATTTATTCTTAGACCAGTTAAAGTCAGTTCTCATGTGTAGTTCACAATTTTAAGTGAACACACTGATACTGTAGTTCTTTTACTTATAAGACACTATGATTATAGACTGAGATAATTTACCTACCTTTGTATGAAAGATACAGTTGCCCTAGGATTCCATTAGCTTGGCAGGTCTGATGTTCCACACACTGCTGCTGTTTATCTGGAGAATCCACAGAATGACTGGGAAACCTGCAATAATCCAATCAAGTTTAACCTTTACCCATAATGATTTGGGAATAGTGCATATTCTTCTATGATAAGTGTAGCTTTGTTTTCTATAACATAAACTCTGATTTTTTAACCTTTTACTTTATTAAATAAAAGTTTAACTAAACAAATGTAAAAGACTATCAGAATATTGTGTATACAGCATCTGTGTACTTAAAGATATGCAGCATGCTTTGATTATATTCAGCCATTAAAAAAAAAAAAAAAGGCCTATACCAGTATGCTGTGAAACTATTTTAAACCTTTATGGTTTCACAGAATTATAGTGATATCTTTCCAGAGATGGTTGGTAACCTTGTTCCATTGCCAATGCTGCCCTGCATAATGATTCTGAATCTCCATTCCTGTCACCCTAAGCTTGGGCCCTCTTACATTACTCTTGTCATGTTTTTGGATATTTATAGGACCAAATAATGCTAATCCTTGACTTCTAGATCACAGCATTTATTGGCAAGTATGTGATTGAATTCCAGCTTTAGGCTCATGAAGCTCACTTCCTTTTAAAATCTTCCCTTAAGTAAAACTTTTAACATTGAATTTACTGAAATGCTTAAGTGATTGTGATATTTGTATGCCATCACTGAGATATATTTATATACATGTATCTTTCATGTTAAGTTTGTTTAAATTTTTAAAATATATTATTTTTTTTTAAGTTGGCAGCTCGTACTGCTGAAAGAAACCTCAATGATTTAAAGAAAGAAAATTCTTACCTCAGACAAAAGTAAGTGTCTTAATGGGAACACTTTAAAAACTTTATTCTTAGTTGTTATTTTATTAATACTTTTATAAAGATAAACAAAAATTTGTAGTGGATTTAGAATATCTAATGGTGAAATCTATTAGTTTTACTAAGAGTTACTAGATTTTTGGTTTGAAACATTTGTTTTACAGAGGTCACTCTAACAGAGAAGGAAACTATTCACAGATTCTTTCATAAAAGGTGTAACAAAATGTAAAAAAAACAGCAACAGTAGGCTAGGTAGAGGGAGATTAAATGGGATAGAAAGAGAAAGCATGAATCTCTCTGAGAGAGTAATTTTCAGACTATCAGCATCTTTTAATGGATAGATAGATGGAATACATATTTATTATTTCTCTTATCCCCAGGTTTTAATGTATTGGGTTTAATTTATTTTACAGTAAAGAAATGAAAAGGAGAATAAAAATATACATTGTACAAAGGGAAGAGTAAATGCTTTTTTATGAGGATTGTAAGTCTTCCCAGAGTGTTATAATTTCTTGCCAGAATGTACTATTAACATTATCCGGCCGGTGCGGCTCAGTGGCTGAGCATCGACCCATGCACCAAGAGGTTGCCAGTTCGATTCCTGATCAGGACACATGCCCAGGTTGTGGGCCCAATCCCAGTTGGGGGCATGCAGGAGGCGGCCAGTTGATGTTCTCTCTCATCGATGCTTCTATGTCTCTCTCCCTCTCCCTTCCTCCCTCTCTAAAATCAATAAAGGAAAAAAAATTTTTTCCAATATTAGTTTTAGTCTTCTTGCTTGCCTTTTCTACTCAGAAATTAAAACCAAATGAATACATTTTTTATTTCAGATCTGATGGTTAAGAAGTAGAAATAGGATTCTTTTAAAATGTCACATTTCTGAGAAAAAAAAACTTAGGAGTAGAATAGTAGGATGAGTTCATTGGATTTTAATTTTATGTAATGGTTGGAATCCTAAGTGTAACATTACAATGGAAAGCATACATGACTTAAAGCCAAGAGCCAGCCCTGTGTTTTAATCCTTGGACTTTTTTTGAATAAATTAGTCAAACTCCTAGCCTCAGTTTCTTCAGTTGAAAAATGATAGACTTGAACTAGTTGACCTTTGAGGACCCTTCTATTTCTAGAATTTAGGATTTGTGATACTGAATTCTTTACAGTCTGATTTTGAAGAAAAAAAATTTTAAACCTCAATAAAACTATCACTTGGCAAAAAGAAACCTGTTACCCCAAAATTATAATGGGGGATATAGAAAGGTGTTTTGGTCAGAATAATTTTAGAGGATCTGTTTCTTCTATGTATATATTGAGAAAATGAAGAATAGTTTATATTTGATAGTGGTATTTTTCTAGAAATGTGGGTGCTTCTCTTGGATGAGTAATTTAGAGATGTTTGTTCTTTATTTGCAGATTAACTGAAACAGAGCTTAAATTTGAACTTTTAGAAAAAGATCCTTATGCACTTGATGTTCCAAATACAGCATTTGGCAGAGGTAGTTTTTTTTTTAATTCCTCATTTAAAAATACATATATATTTATATATATTTTGTAAATGCAATTTATATTAGTATAAATTTTGCACTATTACACATACATTATTTAGATTTGGGGGCTAGGGTTCTAACGTAAGTTCTCTCACAGTTTCCCAAGTTTCTGAGTTTCGTTTCCCTAGCAATAACAAATACTCGGTGCCTCTCCTTCTCACTGGGATTTTATACAATGATGTATATTTAGTACCTTGAGATCCTTGAAAAGCAAAGTGCTTGGCACATAGTAAGGTACTCATTAATTCTGTTTTGGAGAATGAATGGGCAAGGATTGCTTAAGTAGAATAACATTGTGTCTTTACATATTCTTTGGTATTTGTTTGAATTATAAAAATGAGAATTAAGTAATTATCAAGGAAGCTGGTAGCAACATAATGAATGTTCTTATAGAGCAGAAATTTGATAAAATTTAAACACAAATGTTAGATGTATTTTAATTTCATAATCTATGTATTATGTGTTAGTGAAGTTGATTTGCCATACAAAAGGGAATATGTACTTGGAAAAAGATTTTCCCCCGTATTACACTTGTCTTATATGTTTATGATGCTTAATGATACTGTTCTTTCTCTTAAATAAAAAAGGGCAATTAACTGTAAAAAATAAAAGTGAGAATTAAAAATTAGCTTTTAATTACTTAAAACTATTTATTTGAATGGTGGGAAAACCTGAGTAATCTGAATTTTGATTGCTTTAATACCCTCAGGAAGGGTGTTAAAAATACATCTTCTTTGGAAGATGTATTTACTGTTTCTTTCCATTCATTAATGACTTAGCATCTTCAGTGATCTAATACTATTCCAAATAGCTTAAAAATTTCAAAATAATTTTGGTTGAATTAGAATTTAAGCTTCTGAGGCAGTTAAAAATAAACCTGTCTTTATGTAGATAGAATCCCATTGTTACCTTTGAAAAGTTATAAAATCATTTGGAGAGTCCAGTTTCATTAAAATGAAACTCTACTTCTACATTTTGAAGATAGCAGATTATTACGAATTTCAAATAGTAACAAAGTTAGGAGTGGGAGGAATTATACAGAAAAAATTTGTCTGAAATTAATGCAAAAGTCTCAGGGGAGGGTAAATAATGCTTTGATCTTTTTTGTAACTACATGTATATATTATGTAAACTACATAATAAAATTTAACATGTTTAAAAAGTGTTATTTTGATGGTATTTAAATTTGTTTGATTTTTGCTGTTAACTTTTGATCTTTTGAAGCATAATTAATTGGGAATGGTGAAGTTTGTAAAATGATAGGGCTCTTGGTTATATGGTTTATAGGTAGAGTGACAATTTTTTAATGAATTCGTGTATGTAAATTGACTTTTCTTGGCCTGACTCAGCATGCACTCAGACTGATTGAGCCTACAACCTGGGTGTGTGCCCTGACAGAGTCGAATCACCACCTTTTGGTGTATGGGACGATGCTCTGGCTGACTGAGCCACACTGGCCAGCCCTGTAAATTGACTTTTCACTGGCAATGAATCAAAAGTAATTTCTGATACTTTGGAGTATTTTATGCTTTTTTTTCTACTTTTCAAAATTCAGAGCTTTACTCAAATAAATCATGGCTCAACATAAGCTGTCTGGCCCTGATTTAAACTGAGCCCTTCCATGTTACAACCCTCACCAGTTGAAATATTTAGAAGCATACTACCGTTAAAAACAAAACAAACTTCATTCCCCCCCAAATCTTGTAACTCTAAAATATCACCAGTATTCTTTGCTTAATATTGTATGGTTATTTTATTTATGTGTATTCATTATCAAGAGGGTAATGTTTTTATTGACTAAAATACACATTGTGTAAACAGACTTTATGGAGCACAGAGTTCCATAATGAATTCCAGTCCATGTTAGCATTACCCAAAGCACAGTTAGTGTTCAGGACATGGATTAAACTTAACTGGCAGGAGGATGACCTGATGGTAATTGTTGAAATGGGATTCTGATCTGTAGTGTAGCGAATTGAAGCTATGAATTTAAACATGCTGTTTTAATTATTCCAGAGCATTCCCCATATGGTCCCTCACCATTGGGTCGACCTTCATCTGAAACGAGAGCTTTTCTCTCCCCTCCAACTTTGTTGGAGGGTCCACTGAGACTCTCGCCTTTGCTTCCAGGGGGAGGAGGAAGAGGTATATTGTTTAAACATCTTTATTACTCTAGATTCTTCCTTACTTTATATTTTCATCTCAACTTTTCTTTACAAACAATCTTTAAAATAATCCTTTGGAAACTGCAGGCACTCCTTGCACTTATTTTGAGTTACTTTTGTTTGGAAAAGGAGCTCTATGACATTTTAATATGTTTTTCTTTTAGAAACTGTGTTATAATAGAACACATTTTGGTCAAGCGCTTGATGCATTATTTTTTAAATCACATTTTTGACTTCTTACAAACTATTTTATACTACATCATATAAAACTTTATAAAGAATATATAAAGTAATATAACAGCATAAAATTGTATTTTAATGAAATATTATTAGAATGTAGAGTTCTTAAAATCTTGTTTTACTTCATTATCATGATCTTTTCATTGTAGAAAATCAAAGTGAAAGAACCTTTATTTTAATGTTGAGGAATTCAGAATTGCTCTTTTGTACGCAGGGTTTTCATGGGAACCTTAAAAGAAACCTAAGTCATTTGTTAATACTTTGTTAAACCAACCCAAAATTGTCTGCTTTGTTACCCCTTTATGTGTTTTTGAGAGTTTCCAGAACTACGTCAAGCCTCTAAGTCTTAGTTGTTGGTTTTTCTGCATTTACCTCATCAGTACGCATTTAGGCGTTACCTATGGACCTGGAGTATCGCCCCCCCCCCCATCTTTTTTAAATTGTTGACACTATTACAGATGCTCCCATTTCCCTCTTCCTTTGTCCCGCTCCCCCCCCCCCCCCATTGGAGTATTGCTCTTTTTAGCCCCAAGTCTATGTTTTGTTAGGGCCCATAGCTTTCTTCACCAGTGTCATGTCCCCACTCCCCACCTTTTTTTTGCCTTGGTCAAGCAATGCCACCAAAAATTTGGTTGTCTCCCACACAAAAAAAATAGGGGAGAGAGAGAGAGAATATACCCACTCCCCCTTTTGTCAGTGATTTTAGCATATTAAATCTGAGGTAGGAACAGCAAATAATGAGACCAAATAAAAACAAACTAAACCCAACATAGGAAAGCTCTAATATTCAAATGGATATTACTCATCAAAATAGCCTCTCAGAGAGTCTGTGTACTTTCCTGTTGAAGCTTCCATTATTTTAAATATTTTTTTATTGCTTTCTTTGGAATTGCCTTCAAGAATATGAAAAAAATAAATGTCCTTTATGTTTATGAGACATTCTCCCTTTGCCCGTTTCTTATTTATATTCTCTTTCCCCTTCCTCAGTTTGCTACATGTAGCACTGGTCCTCTCTGCTTCCTGTTCTCACAGCAGCTTGGGCCCACAGCCCTGGGGGGATACTTCAGAGTATTGGCTTTGAACTGAGAGCTCCTAGGGAAAGACAATGAGTTGCAGATTGACACTTGGAGCCCTTAGAGAGTTTGTTTTGCCCTTAGAGAGTTTGTTTTGCTTTAAGTACTTCCGAGAAGGGGACTGATTTTGAAATTCACATGTGTGTTGTAAGTACCCTAAATTCATTTCCCCTCAATTTTTTGCCTTGGCCTAGCATAAGAAACATATTTTCTATCATGTCATAGTACACACCAATATAAGTGTAACTGAAACCCGTTACATGAAATAGTACTCATTACTATTTTCAGTGCTTTCTGATATTTTCTATTCAGTTTTGTTCCATTTCATTAAAAAATAGTGATTAAGAATTAAGATGAATTTCATGCACTAAAGTGGGTTGAAGCCAGCAGTCTAAAAAACAGTACCCTAGAAATAATGTTATATAATTGACTAGATGCAAATGGGAATCACTGGAAATTGAATGATATAAGTCAAGGATTGCTTGTAGTCAATTGAGTATTTGGAATAAGAGTAAAAATTACCTTTGATTTCTCCTCTCCTATTTAAATTACTTTCCTCTCCTTTTTAATTATTTCAAGATATGATATGTTTACATTATGTGCAAGGGTGTTTTACTATTTGTTAGAAAAGCTACAGAGAAATTGAAAAAAATATATAATGTTACAACATATATCCTGGATACCTGCGTAAATAAACAACAGTTTATTTTTAAAAATAAGTGAAAACAGAAGCTATAGTGGTTTTAGGTAAGTAATCAACCGGTCTTAAAAGAGTTGCTTTGGCCCTGGCTGGTTTTGTTCAGCGGTTAAAGCGTCGGCCTGGGGACCACAGTGTCCCGGGTTCGATTCTGGTCAAGGGTATGTACCTTGGTTGCGGTTAATCCCTGGCCCTGGTCTGGGTCGTGTGGGAGGTAACCAATGGATGTGTCTCACATTGATGTTTCTCTCTCACTCGCTCCCACTCCGTCTGAAAATAAATGGAAAAAATCCTTGGGTGAAGAGTAAAAAAAAAAGTTGCTTTGTACTTAAAGTTCCTATGACCCACCAAAGAGGGATGACCAGTACCCTTCCTTTTTTTTCCTTTTATTATCTTTTAAAATCTGAACGTTTGGGTGAGATATGTTAGAATAATATTGAGTATAAGGAAAATAATATTTTTAGAGTAAATTATATAAAACTTTGGGTCTGAATGAAAATTTTTAACCTTTAGTAATATAAATTTGTAATTTTCACCTAGTAATAAGTCAGCTGGCCCGTACTTGGTCCTTTGGAAGCACACAATCAGAGGAAAGCCTTTGAATGTCTCCTTTAAAGATCTATGCTTTAGCCTGGCCAGTGTGGCTCAGTGGTTGAGCATCAACCCATGCACCAAGAGGTTGTTGGTTCGATTCCTGATCAGGGCACATGCCCAGGTTGTGAGCCTGATCCCCAGTGGAGGCCTTGCAGGAGGCAGCCAGTCGATGTTCTCTCTCATCGATGTTTCTATCTCTCTCTCCCTCTCCTTTCCTCTCTCTCTAAAATCAATAAAGAAAAAAAAAGATGTATGCTTTACTCTATATGAATTTAGCCTAATTACTCTTGTACATTTCTACCATTTCAGTTTTCTTCTTTTCCAGCCTTTTTCTTTTAATGAACTGATGAGAAGGATGAACAAGCTAGAAGGAAAGATTTGGAAAATTTAATAGAATATACAACTATAAGGGAAAGAGATAGTTGACCTTCAAACATAAAAGTCAGTTGACCTCTTGACTCTCCAAATAGAGTAGATAATTATTTTATAGATTATTATATATTTTAAAAAAGAGAAAGTTTATACTGATTTGCACAAGTTATCAGGAAAAGATCAAATTAATTATTGTTTCCTCCTAAAGGAGGTTCTGAAACGTGGGAAGCATTTTACAAAGGACTCTGTTTACAAAAAATTGTTGTTTTTATTTTTTTGTCTTAAGAAACTGTTTCTTGAAAAGGAACAAACTTATTTTATGGGCAATATAATTTTGAGAACACCTTATTTACCCCTCAATGATGGATAAATGAGGTTTTTATATATTTTGTTATTTAGTGTTTGAATATTTTTTATATTTTATCTTTTTAAAATTGAATATAGGTTATTAATTGAGGTACTATCCTTTCTGTAGTCATAAGAAGGGAATTTTAAAGTGTTTCCCCTCCTGCTGGCCGGTGTGGCTCAGTGGTTGAGGGCTCACCCATGCACCATGAAGTCGCTGGTTCGATTCCCAGTCAGGGCATATGCCCAGGTTGTGGGCCCAATCCCCAGTGGAGGGTATGCAAGAGGTGGCCAATTGATGTTATCTTTCTCATTGATGTTTCTATCTCTCCCTCTCCCTTCTTCTCTCTCTCAAATCAATAAAGAAGAAATATTAAAAAAAAATAAAATAAAGCATTTCCCCTGCTTTATTAATGTATGTATGACAGATTTTCTTATCCAAATTAATTATCTTGTTTGAAATGTTTATTCCAACAGTGCTGCTGTTTCTGAAATTCTTATTTTAGACTTGCCTTCAGGGCTATGAGCTCTTTCTGAAGGTGTATTTGACATTTATAAATTTCTTTAAGCCATTTATAGTAAAATTTATCTGATGGGATAAAGTTTGTAATCAGACTGGTTAAAGTTGTTTTGGGGAGTAGAGAATCATGTTACAACAATGAGATACGATTTTAAAAAAATATATTTTATTAATTTTTTTTTTTTTTTTTTTTAGAGAGGAAGGGAGAGAAACATCAATGTGAGAGAGAGACAGTGATTGGCTGCCTCCTGCATTCCCCTCCCCCCCCCACTGGGGATTGAGCCTGCAACCCGAACTGGTAATTGACCTGGGATCTCTCAGTCTGTGGGATGACACTCAATCCACTGAGCCACACCGGGTGTGCCCGAATATATTTCCAAAGAGTTTTACTAAGAAATACTTTGAGTAGTAGTATTAGTAGAATTATTGAAATAAGCATATTGCCCCTAACATGACTGTTTTAAAGAAATCATACTCTTTGTTTGACTTGGTAGATTAGTTTAAGCAACATAAACTTTATTTTATATTTATGTTACTGCATTTTGATAGAAATCTTTACTTTGCTATTTCTACTTTTATCTTTCAGGCATTATTTATACTTTAAAATTTAACCACTGATTTTATATGTGAAACTATTATAACATTTAAAAACAAAGTTTATAAGCAAGTACTTATTTACGCACGTGGCAAAATTGCCGTAGAAATGACTTTGGTAGGATAGAGTTGTAGTCTAATATGTCTTAGGGAAACTTCGTTGGAATCTAATTGTTTTCACTTTTTAAGAAATGTCTGGATTTTATTTGATGGTAGGTCTCATAATATATTTTAGATAAAACAGAATTGTGTTTTTTTCTTTAATTAGGCTCAAGAGGTCCAGGGAATCCTCAGGAGCATCAGATTCCTAATGAAAGAGGAAAATCAAGCTACGATAAGTTAACTGATCCTCACAGGGAACCTTCGGACACTGGGTCCCTTTCACCTCCATGGGAACAGGATCGTAAGATGATGATTCCTCCATCAGGTATGGAAAGAGAATAGTTATTATTTATATTCGAAAGGTAACCAGTATATGCAACGTATAGGAATAGAAGAAAAGAGGACATGTGGGCCCTGTTTAAAGGAAAACAATGATACATATTAGAGCACAGCAATAACACAGATTTCCAAACAAAATAATTAGGTGTAATTGTTCATATTACAGAAAGCTATTTTACACCCCTCACCCCATGGAATGAATGTTTTTATTGTCTTTGTTGCTTATGAAAGTAATACATGTTTATTTTAGAAAATCTGAACAATGCAGAAATGTGTAATTAGGAAAGTTGAAAAATCCTGCTATCATCTTAGCATGCCCTCCCAGAATTTAGTTATATATCTTTTAGGGATTTTTTTTTTTTTTGCGGGGGGGAAAGTACATTCATAAACATAGGTATACACATTCCTTCATCACTTCTGTGTATTTTATATTATCCATCCTCTTAAAATTGTTTTTTTTTAAAAAATATAATTGACATCTTTTTATTTTATTTTATTTTTTATTGATTTTAGAGAGATGACATGGAGGGACCTGAAGAGTATTATGCTAAGCAAAATAAGCCAGTCAAAGAAAGACAAGTACCACATGATTTCACTTATATATATGGAATATAATGAACAAATAAGCTGACAATTAAAATAGATTCAGAGACATGGAAGTAGGGAACAGACTGACAAACCTCAGAGGGAAGGGTGGGGGTGGTTGGGAAGAGATAAACCAAAGAACTTACATGCATATATGCATAACCAATGGACACAGACAATAGTGTGGGGAAGGCAGGAGCTGGGTAGGAGCCAGGTGGAGGAGGTCAATGGGGGAGAAAAGGAGGAACATCAGTGATACCTTCAACAATAAAAACAAAAAATAAAAATAAGAAACTATTAAAAAAATAAAATATCCAATTAATATGAATTTCTAATATTATGCTTTTACCTTTTTATTTTTTCAAAAAACATATCTTTTTATTGAAAGTATTACAGATGTCCCTCTTTTGTTCCCCTTTTGACCCCCTTGACCTTGATCTTTCCCCCTCCCCCTAGGCCTTCACTACACTATTATATATGTATGTATAAAAGTTCTTTGATTAATCTCATCCAGCCTCCCATACCCCTTTTCCCTAAGATTTGTCAGTCCGTTCCATGCTTCCTTGTCTCTATTTTGGATCTATTTTGTTTGTCAGTTTATTTTGTTCATTAGATTCCACATATAAGTGAGATCATGTGATACTTGTCTTTATCTGATTGGTTTATTTCACTTATCATAATACTCTCCAGGTCTTTCTATGCTATCTCAAAGGGTAAGAGATCCTTCCTTTTTACAGCCTCGTAGTACTCCATTGTGTAAATGTACCACAGCTTTTTTATCCACTCATTTACTGATGGGCACTTGGGCTGTTTCCAGATCTTAGCTATTGTAAATAGCACTGCTATGAACATAGGGGTGCATATATTCTTCCAGATTGGTGTTTTGGTCTGCTTAGGATACATTTCTAGAAGTGGGATCACTGAGTCAATGGCAGTTTCATTTTTAATTTTTTGAGGAAATGCCATGCTGTTTTGCATAGTGGCTGCACCAGTCTGCATTCCCACCAGCAGTGAACTAGGGTTCCCTTTTCTCCATATCTTTGCCATCACTTGTCATTTGATGATTTGTTGATGGAGTATCTATTCTGGCAGGTGTGAGTTGATATCTCATAGTCATTTTAATTTTCATTTCTCTAATGATTAGTGACTTTGAGCATTTTTTCATCTGTCTCTTGGCCATTGGTATGTCCTCTTTGGAGAAGTGTCTATTTAGGTCCTTTACCCATTTTAAAATTTATGTTTGTCTTCCTTTTGTTAAGTTGTATGAGTTCTTTATATATATTGGAAATTAACCCCTTATCAGATGTATCATTACCAAATATGTTCTCCCATACAGTGGGATCCCTTTTCATTTTGTTGATGGTTTCTTTTGCTATGTAGAAGCTTTTTATTTTAATGTAGTTCCATTTGTTTATTTTTTTCCTGTTTTTCTTGTCCTAGGTGATGTATTGGTGAACATTCTGCTATGTGAGATGTTTGAGATTTTGTTGCTTATGGTTTCTTCTATAATTTTTATGGTTTCACAACTTACTTTTACGTCTTTTATCCATTTTGAGTTTATTCTTGTGTATAGTGTTAAGTAGGTGGTTTAGTTTAATTTTTTTACATGTAGCTGTCTAATTTTCTCAACACCATTTATTAAGGAGACTATCTTTACTCCATTGTATGCTCTTGCCCCTGTCATCAAATATTAATTGAGCATGATGTCTTGGGTCGATTTCTGGGTTCTCTGTTCTGTTCCATTGATCTATATGCCTGGTCTTGTGCCATTACTAGGTTGCTTTGATTACAGTGACTTTGTAGTATAACTTGATATCTGGTATTGTGATCCCTCTTACTTTGTTCTTCTTTCTCAAGATTGCTGTGGCCTTTCGGAGTCTTTTTTGGTTCCCTATAAATTTTTGGAGTATTTGTTCTAGATCTGTGAAATATGCTATTGCATTTTAATGGGAATTGCGTTGAATCTGTAGATTGCTTTGGGTAGTATGGACATTTAAATGATGTTAATTCTTCCAATCCATGAACAAGGTACATGTTTCACTTGTTTGTATCTTGTTCTCTTTCTTTTTTCAATGTCCTGTAGTTTTCTGAGTTTAGGTGTTTTACTTCCTTGGTTAGTTAAGTTTATTCCTAGGTATCTTAATTATTTTGTTGTAATGGTAAGTGGGAATGTTTTCTTAGTTTCCCTTTCTGAGTGTTCATTATAGGTTTATAAAAATGCCATCGACCTGGCTGGTGTGGCTCATTGGTTGAGTGTCGACCCATGCACCAAAAGGTTGCCGGTTCAATTCCTGGTCAGGGCACATGCCCAAGTTGTCCCGGTCCCCAGTGTGGGGCATGCAGGAGGTGGCCAATCAATGTTCTCTCTCTCATCAATGTTTCTGTCTCTCTCTCCCTCTAAAAATCAATAAAGAAAAAATTTTTTTTTAAATGCAATTGATTTCTGGATGTTAATTTTGTGTCCTGCTATTTTGCTATTTTGCTGAATTCATTTATTAAACCTAGTAGTTTTTTGTTGGAGTGTTTAGGGTTTTCTCTATATAATATGCCATCTGTGAATAATGACAGTTTCACTTTATCCTTTCCAATTTGGATGCCTTTTTTTTTCTTTATTGATTTTAGAGAGAAAGGAAGGAAGAGTGAGAGAGAGAGAGAAACATCAATGAGAGAGAACATCGATTGGCCATCCCCTGCATGCCCCCCACTGGGGCTTTGGCCACAACCTGGGCATTTGCCCTGACTGGGAATTGAACCGGTGACCTTTTGGTGCATGGATCATTGCTCAACCAGTGAGCCACACCAGTCGGGCTGTATGCCTTTTATTGTTTCGTCTTGATGAGCTCATTGGCTAAGTACCAGTACTATGTTGAATAAGAATGGTGAAAGAAGACATCCCTGCCTTATTCTTGTTCTTAAGGGAAACACTTATTTTGTGCCCAGTGAGTATGATATTGTCTTATATAGCCTTTGTTATGTTGAGGTTTGATCCCTTTATTTCCACTTTGCTGAGCATTTTTATAAAAAATGGGATCTGGATTTTGCTGAATGCTTTTTCTGCATTTATTGATATGATCATATGATTTTTTCTTTCATTTTGTTTATGATATGTATCACATTTATTGATTTGCAAATATTGTACTAGCCTTGCATTCCTGGGATAAATTCCACTTGGTTGTGGTGAATAATTTCTTTAATATATTACTGGATCCAATTTGCTAATATATTGTTGAGGATTTTGGTATCTGTGTTCATCATTGGCTTGTAATTTTCTTTATTTTTAGTGTCTTTATCTGGTTTTGGAATTAGGATAATGCTGGCCCCAAGGAGCTTGGAAGTCTTATTTCCTCTTGAATTCTGTGAAGAGTTTGAGGAGAATAGCTTTAGTTCTTTGAATGTTTGATAAAACCTCCCCTGTGAAGCTGGCAGGTCCACGACTTTTGTTTTCTAGGAGTTTAGTTTTTTGTTAATCCTCACCTGAGAAAAAATATATATATATATATAAATATATATATATATAAATATGTAAATTTATATATATAAATATATAAATATATATATATATTTTAATCCTCACCTCCTCACCTGAGGACATTTATTTCATTTTTTGTTCAGATAGAGCAGGAGGGAGAGAGAGGAAGAGAGAGAGAGAGAAACATCCACGTGAAAGGGACACATCGAGTAGCTGCCACCCGCACAACCCAACCAGGGCTGGGGACAAACTGCAACCGAGGTACATGCCCTTAGTGGGAACCGAACCCGGGTCTCTCTGTACCACAGGCTGATGCTTCTAACCACTGAGCCAAACTGGCCAGGGCCTGAGGATATATTTCTATTGATTTTTTTTTTTTTTTTTTAATAGAGTGGAAGGGAGGGAGAAGAGAGAGAGAAAAACATCGATGTGAGAAAGACACATTGATCGATTGCCTCCCACATGACCCCAACTGGGGCTGGGGATTGAATCTGCAACCCAGGTACATGCCCTTGATCAGGAATTGAACCCATGACCCTTCAGTTTACAGGCTGACTTTCTGACTGCTGAGCTAAACTGGCCAGGGATGCTAAGAGTTTTTTTATTTCTGCTTCAGTTTCATTAGCTGTAAATAATCTATTCAGCCCAGCCGGTGTGGCTCAGTGGTTCAGTGTTGACCCATGCACCAGGAGGTCACCGGTTCGATTCCTGGTCAGGGTACATGCCCAGGTTGTGGGCCTGATCCCCAGCGGGGGGCATGCAGGAGGTGGCCAGTCGATGTTCTCTCTCATTGATGTTTTATCTCTCTCTCCCTTCCTCTCTAAAATCAATGAAGAAAAATTATTACAAAAATATAATAATCTATTCAGATTTTCTGATTCTTCCTGATTCAGTTTTGGAAGATTGTATGTTTCTAGGAATTTGTCCATTTTGCCCAGGTTGTCTAATTTGTTGGCATATAGTTGTTCATAGTATTTTCTTTGTATTTCTGTGGAGTCATTTGTTACTTCTCCTCTTCCATTTCTGCTTTTATTTAGTGCTTTCTCTTTGTTTCTTGATAATACGTCTGGCTAAAGGTTCATCAATCTTGTTTATCTTTTAAAGAACCAGGTCCTGGTTTCATTGATCTTTTGTGTTGATTTTTAAGTTTCTGTATCATTTATTTCTGTTCTGATCTTTATTATTTTCTTCCTTCTACTTTCTCTGGGCTTTTCCATTTGTTTTGTTTTTCCAGTTCTTTTAGGTTTATGTTCTTTTTTAAGTGAAAATGTTTATTGTACATGACGAGTGACCAGTATTGAGCCTAAAAATATTCTAACCCCTTTTTCATATTTATAATTCTCTTTTCAACGATGTTGATGTTCCTATATGTGATATAACAGATTATTAAAGTATGTACTCAGGGAACAATTGTAGTCCAGAATGTGTTTTGGAATGAAAAGAGATGATTTAAAGTAGACATTGAATTGAATTTTATTCTAATTCTTAGTTTATGAAACTGCCTCAGATGCCCTGCACACTTATTCCCACTCTTTATCCATTTTTTCCCCATCTTTTTTATTCTTACATTTTTCTTTCTGATCATTTCTTCTCTTATAAGGGTGGTAGAAAACATGTAAGAAAGCAAAAAAGGAATCATTTATGTCCTATTTTCTGTGTTTCAGCCTTTCATTGGTCATATGCCTTTCACATAATCATCTTATTATATTGTGTGTATGTACATGCAGATGTATATGTATATCTGAGTTTGACCAGAATGTCTGTTTACTTACTTGTTCATTCTTCCTGACCTTAAGGGCAAGCTTTACTTCCTCTTTGACAACATTTCTGATTTATGTTGTTTGTATGCCCATTTATTTATTTATTTATTTATGGTACGTGCTCCTAGCGGGAACCGAACCCAGGACTCTCTGGTCTGCAGGCCAATGCTCCAACCACTGAGCCAAACCAGCCAGGACTGTATGCCCCTTTATTAAGGCATTGATCACATTTTATGTATTTGTTTTCTGTCCTTAGAATAAAAGCATGGACTGTATCAAAATCAGTGATGAATCACTAGTACCTGGCACATAATAGGCTCTGATAGATTTAAGGAATGAATTATTCTTGCCAGTAGAAGGCAACATTGGGTATATGACTTATAAAATAGAGTGCTTATAGCACAATTTTTTATTTCTGAAGTTGCTGATATTGTGGGGATGTCTTTTTGAAGCAAAATAATGATAAGGTGTCTGAGACCTGATTAAGGTAAAGTTGTGAGGTTTTCAGGTTTCCCCATTTTATCTCCTTACTCAATTCTACCATTGAATTAATTCCATGTTTGAAGTAGAAAGGGAAATCTCAGTTTAGTTCTTGGTGCTTAGTCTTTTCTTCCCTTGGGCTAATTCAGACTCACTGAGTTCTGAAAGTGGGGAAAATGAGTCTTCAAGCCTGTCTGGATCTTTCTCTCCTAAGTCACATCCCTTGACGCTTGGGAGCTCTTTAAATATAATTCTTTCTATCGATTCTGGTTGATGCCAGATAATTTCTTGGCTTTGTGTGAGATAGGTGTATCAATAAGGTCCCATGTGACTGAGTTAGATGAGGACTGACCTATTTAACGTATGGAGTTCACATCATGAACCGCTGCCTAGGACAGCTATGGACCGTTTGTTATGGAAGTTTGGGGCTGTTTGTCCAAATCTATAAGGACAAACACAGTCACACAATTCACCCCCTTTGACCTTCCCCATATTTTTGGACTTGGGCATATGCAGACCTAATCTATCAAAAGTCTGCCATCAACTATCAAAGATGTGATAGACTACTTGTATATTTTTTCAAGAATAATGAGTTCTATAGGGACCCAGGAATGATCATTTTGTCATCTTAACCCCTGGGGACAAAGGAGGGTGGCTGTAGAGCGCCTGATTCAGAGTCCGTGCCCAGTTTTGCATCTGTCCAAATGTCCTTAATCGGAGCAATGTGAGTCTTTCATTCATCTATTGCGTCAGAAATCTTCCTCTTTAGTTTTGGAGGGATGCTAAATTCCAAAATATTGAAGTTATGAAAATTTGATCACCAGTGACCTCTGAATAGTACTCTTTCTGCTTTAGTGACAATTTCTTTTTATCTTTGTCTGTTCTGTTAAATTTCTTGCTATGCTGACAACATATTCTGTTTTTCTTTTTTTGCTAGTAGCTATCTTTTCTTTCTTTCCTTTTTTTTTTTTAGTAGATATCTTTTCAAAGCCTTTTTAAATATATTGTTGTATCTGCTTTCTTTTACTATTTTTAAAATAGAAAGTAATGAATATATATAACTAAATTCTTTTCATATACAGGGTAGGGCAAAAGTAGATTTGCAGTTGTATGAAATAATACAATAATAAATAATAATACAAGAATAAACTCGGTGCTCTCCCTCCAGGGAGCACACCCATACCATCCCCACCCTCTTTCCTTCCCCCACAGGCATGTGTCTCTTAAACTCCAAGGGACCCCATGAGACTTGGAACCAGGGGAGCAATGGGCAGCAGCAGCTCATCATTGCAGCCTAACCCCCTGAATCTGTCTCCAAGGCCCCCTTTTCCCTGACTTCCAGTGAACCAAAGCAGCCCAACCTGGGCTCTCCTGATGCTTCTTCTGTGCCCTCCCTTGTTTCACTGTTCTAGGTTTGTTTTTGCTGCGGTCAATACGTTCTTGCTTATTTTTCTAAAAAAAAAAAAAAAAAAAGAATAAACTCTGTGTTTCATGTATTCACAACTATAAACCTTCTTTTTCTCCACCCAGTCTTAATTTACACAGAATTGAAACTTTTAAAATCCAGGGTAGCATATTATACTTGTGTTTACTACAAAAGCCCAAATTAAGTTATTGCTTTTAATACAGTATGTAATGTTCCTAAAATTCTTCACTATTGTCTACCAAGAATATGAGTTAAAGTCTTTTAGGAAGCAAGAGAAGTGTCTACATTCATTATATTAAACTTAAGTAAACTTGATTTATTTCATTCTAATGAAAACATTTTAAAACTTGTTTTGTAGGCCAACCTTATTCTGATCCAGCTCTTCCTCCACAAAGGCAAGACAGGTTTTATTCTAATACTGGGAGATTGTCTGGACCAGCAGAACTCAGAAGTTTTATGCCATCACTGGACAAAGCAGGTAAGAAATACTTTTTGCGTATATATGTGTCTTTTTAAAAAAATATTTTTTAGAAAGAGAGGAAGGGAGAAAGAGAAAAACATTGATCTGAGAATGATATATTGATTGGCTGCCTCCTACCCACACCCGATGGTGGGAACGAGCCCATAACCTGGGCATGTAGCCTGACCAGGAATCGAACCAGGACCTCTCAGTTCATGGGACGATACTCAGTCCACTGAGCCACACTGGCTGGGCTATATGTGTTTGTTTTAATAATGGTGGGAAACTAAAGAACTAAAAGCTGATTAAAGGACCATATAATTGCTGTTTGTGGTAACTCTTAAGGCCAAATCTCTCTGCTGAAATTTTACTGGTTTTATGTTTCTTGTTATATTGTACACATCTGTGGCATCTACATACACATGGGTGATTGGTTTGGGCACCATGGTAATGGGTTTACTCTATGAACTTATGATGGAAAATTTTATTCTGTCCCATGATTAATTTTCTAATTTTTCCAGTTCACCTATATATGTCCTGTTTAGTATTCAGGGAAATTAGGCTTATGTGAATGGATATGCGAAAATCCACCAGAAAAAGCATTTGAATGCATGCTCAATTATCTTATATAAGCTTTTCATACTTAGATTTAACTAACATTTAATGAGGAACCTTCTGTTTGTCAGACATTCTTTTTCTCATACCATCTCAAAGCAACCCACTGAAGTTGGGAAATATATATATCTAAAGTATCAATCAGAAGTATATAACATTGAGAATAAAAAGATTAAAACCTAAGTGGAAAATTAATATAGATTTATTGGTAAAAGTTTTCTCAGGAAAGGGTATATATATGGAGGGAGGGCGTTATTCATTTGAAGTATTTATTGTTTTAGAAAAAAGTTTTTGAATAATAAGCAAAGAAGCAGACCTATGGCCTGGATTTCTATTATTAGTTATAATTAAATTAATTCTTTTGGTTAGACTTTTGAAATTGTTTTCCCCATTATTTCAAATTTAGTGGAATGAGACTATATGTATAATTAAACTAGTGCTATTTAAATTTTTTTACATGTTCTTTTTTTGGTAATTGAATAATATTTGATTAAGCAGATTATATTTAAGTGCTTATTGTTTAGAAGGTGCCCTGTATGACATTGGAAACAATATAATTATAATAAGATATAGTTTATTATATTAATAATTAAATAAGGAAGAAAAACATGTATCTTTAATACTGGTGAGCAGAGTAAGTCTCATTAGAGAAAATGCTGTGTTCACAGAAAGAGAGAATGCTCATCTAGTTGAAGGATCAGGGAAAAGTCTATAAAGGAGGTGCCATTTGAGCTGCTGTTGAGAGACTTAGTTGGGAGGTGGGGGGTCTGTGCCAAAAATAATGAACAGCATGCAGGCAAAAAAAGAGAAAAGTGACAGCATGAGTCATTTGGATAATGGCTGTAAAACTGAGATATTAATCACTTGACAAGGCCTTACAAGAATTAAATGAGTTAATAAGTATGGAAGTTTTTGTGAATAGGAAAATTTTATATAAACATAATATATTGTTATTGCTTTGTCAGTATTTGGTATTTACACAAAGGAGAATGGTGAGAGGTATGGTTGAAACACATTGACTAGCATTGGTGCTCAGTGAGCATTCATTGAATGAAACTGAATTATCGCATTTAATTTTCACAATGAACCTAAGGTTGACATAGTATCCTCATTTTATAGATCAAGAAACTGAGGCTCAAAAAGGTGCTCAAATCTCAGCATAGGAAGTATCTGAGACAGGACTTGAACCCATGTCTGTCTGACTTAAGCCATGGTCTTAATCCCTATACTATATTGAAATAAGAGGGTACTGGACCCAGCCATTGAGGCACTAAATGTTTATAGACTGCTTATGGTATGAAGGCATTATGAAAGTTGCTCTATCTCAGTAGTGAACAGGAGCTCAGCATTCCTTACACCTTGAGGTTTAGCAAAGGCGTCAAGCAGTTGCACGACACAGTGACAAAAGTAATAAGTACAGGGTGTTATGGGAGCATATGGAGCACTCACCAAGATGAGGAGTTACTGTTGTGAGTATGAGATAGTCAAGAAAATCTTCCTGGAGGAAGTGATATATAAGCTGAGAATTAAAAGAGAAATTAGCTGGACCAAAATTATGGTGATAATGTTTTAGGAGAAGAGAATAGCATCTTTAAAGATTTAGAATTAAGAGTTCTTAGTAAGTTATGGCTGCCACATGGAGTGTGAGCCCAGGAATATTGAAACAAGTGGTGAAGAGGTAAGTAGTGCATAGAGTTTTCAGGGCCTTGCAAACCTGTTCAGAAATATGGACCTTATTCATAGGATAAATACATTATAGGATTTTAATCAGGGGAATCATATAGTCAGATCTGCATTTTAGAGGGATTATTGTAATTGTATTTTGGTGAATAGATTGGAGGGAGTGGTCAAGATTGGAGACAGTAACTTTTTAGGAGACTTATGATGGGAATCTACATGAGTGATGGTGGTGATTTAGCAAAGGGAATAGATAAATGAGAACAGACACAGAAAATAGAATTGGGAGGATTTAGGGTTGAAGGCATGTGGGAGTGAGGGAGAAGGAGGAATCTTGGCTGATGTCCAGGTTCCTGGCTGTGGCATCTGGCCTATTCATTGTTCTGAGACAAGGAACAAGGAGCAGCACCTGTGATACACCTGCATGAATATTCACATGGGCAGTTCAGACTTCCAAGTCCTGGGGGAAATACATAGGTCAGAATTACACTTCTGGAAGTCATTAGTAGCAAACATCAAATTAAACCTGTAGCAGTAGAAGGATTTCTTAAGGAGAGAATCAGAGGAGAATAGGGCGGATGGTGGAACTCTGAGGAGATAACTATGTAAGGATGGTCAGAGGTAGTGGATGCCACCAAAGAGACTAAAGACCAGCAGCTAGAAGGAAGAGATGGAGAGAAGGAAGGGTATCATCACAGAAATTAAAGGCTGAGAGGATTTAAAGAGGGAGGGAGTAATCAACCATGGTGAGAAATAATGTAAGGACTAAAAGTGTCTATTTTAATTAACCAAAAAAAAAAAGACTGTTTTTAATCTTGGGGAAAACAGTTTCAGTGGAACAATTAATGTTGCAAATAGATTCCAGTAAAATGAGAGCAAAATGGGAGGAATTCCGAACAATATGTATAGAACAATTCTTTATTATTGAGGAGAGGTAGCTAGCTGTAGGAGGATTCTCTTTTTCTGTCTCATTTTTACATAGTAATTGGGAGAGACTTACAGAAATGGAGGAGCAGGGCCAGAGAGAGGAGAGTCCTAAGGAAGCTGGAGGGGAAGGATTCTGAGCACAGAATCAGGGTTGTAGATGGTGTAGAAGGATCTTCTTCCATGATAATAGGAGGGAAGATCATAGGAACATAGTTACTATTTATATGTTTGATTTTTAAAAATTAAGAGTGTTTCTAACTGATATAGTAGGTTTGAGGAGAATGGATGTTTGAAATTGCTGTGGAGAAAATTGGCTCAGAAGACACAGGGAAAAGGTAGGCAGTGGGCAGCTGGAAGTATGGCTGGAGCTCTGTCAGCCTGGAGTGGTGGCAGTCTACATGGCTTTGTGGGTTATTTTATCCCCCGAGGTGTTAAGTGGCTCAGGTATAAGAAGAGTGGAAGCAGAGAGTTGGATTAATCTAGGGCTGGAATGTTCTCAGAGACTGAATAATTCTTGATAACAAAGTTTAAGAGCATTTATTTAGAAACAGTGGCTAAATTCAAATGCTAGTCTGTACTTCCTTAAAAAAAATTTTTTTTTTCTTTGCTGATTTTAGAGAGAGAAGAAGGGAGAGATATAGAAACATCAATGAGAGAGAACATCGATTGGCTGCCTCCTACATGTTCCCCACTGGGGATTTGGCCCACAACCTGGACATGTGCCCTGACCAGGAATTGAACCGGCAACCTCTTGGTGTATGGGTTGACGATGCTCAACCACTGAGCCACACCAGCTGGCTAGTCTATGGTTCTGGATGGAGGAATAAGGAAGGAAGGATGAGAGGGAAGAAAGGGAGCAAAGGAGGGAGGGAGAGAGGTGAGAAAGGAAGCAAGTTGGGAGAAAAATGAAGGAAGGAAAGAGAAGAAAGAATGGAGGATAGGAATGCTTCTTGCCGCAAGATTGCCTGGGGACAGGCTGCCGCATGCCTTTGCAGAACAGCGAGTCTTCCAAAATTCCCAGGGATCTCAGGCTGCTCTTGGGGCCCTAATACAGGTTGCTGCTGTCAAGCTGGTTTGTGTGCTGACAAGGGGAGTGGGGAAGTAGCATCCTTTGTGATCTGGAGCTGTTCTAGGAATGGGGTGATAAATCATCTATTTTTCATGGTTTAACTTTTATGTCTGTAGATGGGCCACAGTCTTCGGAAATGGAATCTAGTGGAAATGAGAGCAAAGACGATCTTGGTGTAAGTATTGAAAGTGGAATTTTATTCATTATTCAGGAGCCTTCTAATCTCTTGGTTTACTAGAACAGAAATTTAGCTAGCAATCTACTTTTTGATAGAAAGCTGTTTCTTTCTTTTTCACAAATATATGTACTTCCTGCTTAGTATTATACCTGTTTCTTTTCTGGAATGTACCTAATGGCAATAAAATAAAACTTGAAGAGTGTAACGTGTCTACAAACTAGAGGCTTAAGTTACTTTGGAATTTGGATTTTCCCTTTTGGATTTTTATTTGAATGTTTTAAAGTATATTTTTGTTACTGTGTTTACAATTTTGGTTTTGATCACCTTATCTTAATGTTGAAAATATAAACATAAACATCTTTTTTCAGTATACGCTTAATAAAAGGATGTATATTTTTGTACTGTTGGTCTATTCCTTCTGTTATATCTTTTTTTTTTTTTTTTATCCTCACCCGAGGACATTTTTTTTTCCATTTTTTACTCAGATAGAGTGGGAAGGAGAGAGAGGAAGAGAGAGAAACATCGATGTGAAAGGGACACATCGAGTGGCCGCCACCCACACGACCCAATCAGGGCCGGGGACAAACTGCAGCCAAGGTACATGCCCTTAGCGGGAACCGAACCCGGGTCTCTGTGGACCGCAGGCTGACGCTCTAACCACTGAGCAAAACTGGCCAGGGCCCTTCTGTTATATCTTTAATCAGAATATTGCTTTGTTGGTTAAAGCTGTTTTCTGTTGAGTTAATAAAATATTTGATGTCAAAAATCCATCTGATAGAAAACTGAATCTTTCTTCAGTTTTTTTAAGACTATCAGGGACTGCTTTTCTGCCTAGCTGCCTAGGGACCTTAGGCTTTCTAAGCCTAAGATTTTTAGGAAAATGATTACAAATTTTGCTCTTATTTTTAGTGACTGCCTTATGTCAATTTGTTACAGAATTTAAATGTTCCTGATGCATCTCTCCCCACCAAAAGTGAAGCGTCTGGCCCTGGCTTTGTTCCTCCAATCAGAGGTCCACTGTTTCCAATGGATGCAAGGGGCCCATACATGAGAAGAGGTCCTCCTTTTCCTCCACCTCCAGGAGGCATGTATGGAGCTCCTCGTGATTATTTTCCTCCAAGGGATTTTCCTGGTCCACCACCTCCTCCGTTTGCAAGTATGCTTTTTAGCAAATTTAATATATGTTTTATAGAGTAAGTAAAATATATTAAGTCTACTTTCTATTCACATAGTAATAGAGTGGAAGAAAATCTCACATTCTGTGAATATACTATTACTTTTTAACATTCGGGAGGCAGCTGACCATCAGTAGACTGTAATGATGTTTCAACCTGATTCATCTCAGTACTGTGGAATTATTTCTGTATTTCACTTGTCAAGAAAATCATTGTCTTTTTGCAGCAATCTTATGTTAAGACTGAAATTATTTGTATCTTATTTGATAGAAACTGGTTACTATGCCAATTAGTAAAAATAATTACATTTTATATTTTAGCATTAAAATTACTGGCTAATGTATTTTTTTAAAAATGTTATTTATTTATTTCTCAGAGAGAGAGGAAGGGAGAGAGAGATAGAAACATCGATGTGAGAAACATCCATCGGCCGCCGCCTACTGGGGATCGAACCTGCCACCCAGGCATGTGCCCTGACCAGGAATCGAACCAGGACCTCTCAGTCCATGGGACGCTGCTCAATCCACTGAGCTACACTGGCTGGGCTGGTTAATGTATTTTTTTAAAGTCCTTTTAAAAAGTAGTTCTCAAGCAGTCCTATTTATTTGAAACCTAAAATATGTTTGGACTAATTGCTGAATTTATTGAAATTCTTTCACAGGTTCAAATAAGAAAAATTGAATAATTTATTGCTTTTAATCTATACATTGCCATTTAGAACTGTAGTTTTCTATAGCATAAATACATGATTACCAAACAGTAGGCAAAAGCCTGATGAGGTCATTGCTTCTGTAATTTAAGTTGTGAATTAAAATGAATTTTGTTTGGCAGATTTTAGACAGTCTTTGATATAACTGTAAATGTTTTCAGATAATATCAAATTGGAACTGGGTATTAGTCTGAATTTTAAGTCTAGTAAAAATTGTATTACATGGAAACTTTTTAAAACTATGTTTGTATAGTTTGAAATAATTACTATTATTACTTTCTTTTTTCTTTACTGGTTTTAGAGAGAGTGGAAGGGAGAGGGAGAGAGAGATAGAAACATTGATGAGCGAGAACATCGATTGGCTGCCTCCTGCATGCTCTCCTTGCCCCCTGGGGATCAGGCCCACAACCTGGGCATGTGCCCTAAGAACTGAACCAGCAACCTCTTGGTGCATGGGTCGACGCTCAGCCCATGAGCCACACTGGCTGGATGAAATAATTATTTTTTAAGTGTTAAGATGTTAGATTTTCATAACACAAAAATTGGGTCTAAAATTTATGATATTCCCTTTAATTATGTATGGTTGAAGAAAGCATGTTTTTCTCAATGTTGTAAAAATTCATTTGTTAGATCAATTATTCTGGTGTCAGTTTTTGAATGTAAAGATAGGTATTGGAAGTTATAAGATAATGATTTATTAGGCTGCAGTACAGGTGCTTAAAGTTAAAAAATGTCTTTTATTAATCTCTTTGAACAGTGAGAAATGTCTACTCACCGAGAGCTTTTCCTTATTATCTTCCCCCAAGACCTGGATTTTACCCCCCAAACCCACCCCCACCTCCACCTCTACCATCACATCCTGAACCTAAAAGTGAGGTCCCATCAGGGTTGATTCCGCCTTCAAATGAGCCTACTACTGAATGAACATCCAGAACCACAAGAAACTTGACAGTGGATTTCAAGTGAACATTTCTATGATACATGATCTGTACCAAAAGTAATTTTGACTTTTCTCATTTTCAGTTTAAGTAACGACTGTTACTTAAGTGACTATACTTATGCTCAAATTGGAGCTTAATGGAATTACATTCTCAGGATAGTATTTTGTAAATAAAGATGATTTAAATATGAATTTTATGAGTAAATTATTTCCATTTTATTTTATTCTACATAGTATAATTATTTTAATTTGATTAATGAGTCCACTAGCACATAAACAGTAATGGGAGTTTCCTATATGTAATCTTGCATTTGGGGATGTTTTAAACTCCAAAGGCTGTATCTTTATGCCAAGAACTGTCTTTCCTATGGTTATAGACAAATGTGAAAGTAACCTATGCTTAATTAAATAAATTTTAATTGATTTAAAGACTTGTTTGACATTGATAATAATAAAATCAGCTAGTTTTTTTCATAACTATGGTTTCATTAATTAATTTTTAAAATTTTCTCCCAGTAGCTTTGAGGCTCACAACTAATGCTTTATATAGGTCTTTCCCATGCCATTATCTTATCAAAAGTACACCCTATTTCTTGCAAATAGATGTGAATGACCTGATGTAACAAATTAATATACTTTTAAAAGTCAAAATTTCTTATATTTTAAAGAAAACCAGAATATTGTCTAATGGTAAATTTCAGGATTTGGATCTTAGTTCATTCACTGGTTTCCTTACTTTATTTCTTATTTTTCTCTTAATTTGTAAGATACTGTTTTTAGTGGGAAATGTAGATATTTATTATAGGATAACTATATTGAGGCACTGTGTCATCATTTTGAGATTTGTGCTTAATTATCTTGAGAATGTTTCCCTAACTCAGGTTTGTATTCTGTTAGTCTTCTTGTACATTAATATGATTATGTAAGGCTAATAATTATTACAATACTTTTGTTGAGAGGGTAGTTGTTTCTAGTTATTTACTTGAATTTTTTTTTCAGTGCCAAAAAACAGAGATTAAATATTCTTGAAAGAAGAAATGATGCATTTGTAATTGGAACACTTCATGCCAGCATTTCTCCTCCAGATGTTCTTTTTTTTTTATCCTCACCTGAGGACATTTTTCCATTTTTTGTTTGGACAGAGTAGGAGGGGGAGAGAGAGAGAGAGAGAGAGAGAGAGAGAGAGAGAGGAGAGAGAGAAACATCGATGATGTGAAAGGGAGACGTTGAGTGGCTGCCACCCACACGACCCCAGCCGGGGCGGGGACAAACTGCAATCGAGGTATGTGACCTTAGCGGGAACCAAACCCGGGACTCTCTGGACCGCAGGCTGACGCTCTAACCGCTGAGCCAAACCGGCCAGGGCTCTCCAGATGTTCTTTGGAACGGTCTTCTTGTGAGGTAGTTCTACTCCCTCTCCATTTTCATCCCACCTTAGAGAAAAAGAGTTAGAAAAAAAGGCTCTATGTGAAATCCTTGGTTAAAATATTAAGTAGAATGAGGACTGTAAAAGCATTGTTATCCATGATGTTTAAAAGACTACTTTTTTAAAGTGGGAAAGTGAAAAGAAGAAGAGAAATGGAAGAGGAATGATGGCAGACCATTCCAGGCAAGTGAAATTTTTTTGTTTGCCCTAGGATAGGGGAGACCTGGCTTAAGACAGAAGAGAAGGAGAAAGGGGAAGGCAAATCAAACATAATAGAAAGAGTGGTACAACACTGAAGAAGCGAAGTCATAGAGGAGGCAGGGAGAGCATCGGATGAAAGCATGGTGGAAGACGAGAAGACTTGATACTGGCTGAGTAGTTTAAAATACTTTGGGGTTCCAGAATAAATGAACGTATTTAGCTTTAAAATATATTTTTACTAATGTAACCAAATAGCAATATGTCAAGTAATAGTATTTTCGGATGACTAGCAAGTTTCCCTCATTTACTCCTTATCCCCAGTTATACTTCCTAGTTAGTTTCTCTTTTAATTCTTTCCCTATCTAATTCTGGTGATTTTAGAATTTTAAAAGATATGCTTATACCTCAAATCTCTGATTTATCAACTTAGTAAATGTATCAATTTGCGTATTGATTCCTTAAGATGAAAAATCAGGACTTAACGTACCTATACTGTGTCTTTTTTTCTTAATTGATGTTAGAGAGAGAGGAGAGGAGAGGGAGAGAGATGGAAACATCAGTGAGACAGAACATCAATTGGCCGCCTCCTGCATGCCCCCCACTGGGGATCAGGCTCACAACCTGGGCATGTGCCCTGACCAGGAATCGAACTGGTGACCTCTTGGTGCATGGGTCGACACTCAGCCACTGAGCCACACTGGTTGGGCACACCTATACTGTTTCCTTTCCCATTTGCCTTTTCATGTTTGATATTTATTCAAATTAAAGTTTTTAATTGTTACCTTTGTAATTTAATATATTTAAACGTTAGTTAGTACCCCTTCCCTTTACTCTGCCACCCTTTTTTCCCTACCTTGACCAGAATTCTGTTTTCTCCTAGCTATACATTTATATTTTCAAGGTTGCTAATAATTACATTACACCTAAAAGCACAACTTCTCTTCTATACTTGGTCTGTAGTTGATCTAAAATTTGAAAATCATTGAATAGCATTTACATTACTATTATCATTACTTAAATGTTATTCACTATCAGACCAAATCATATATTCTAATTTATACCTTTTTATAGGTAAGAAAGATAGTTTTCCTGTTAGATCTCTTTTTTGAGTGAGGATTCAGACTGGGAAATCTGTGTGTGTGGGTAGATGGAGGAAAGGGGAGATGGAATCTGTGACTGATACACTTTCCCTTAGGATGAGCCCATAGGGAGCTGCTGACGGCCATAAGCTCTCCAGATACCAGAATGAGAAGGGCTTCATCTAGGACACCACCCTTCACACTAGACGCTTTTGTTTGTTCCAAACAATTTGACTTCTTTAGGGAATATCTAATCAGTGTTTTAGCTGGAGGCAAATTCTTCCTGGCTCACTGCCTTGTGTTTAGGGTTTGTGGCAGAGAAACGGTGATACCAAGTATTAGTTCTTCTGTACGCAGAACTTCAAGTAAGCTCCCGAGTTTTACCCCTGACACCATTTCTGCACACAGTGTACCCGCTGGCTCTGAGCCCAGCTTCAGGTTCCCTCAGGTGACGACTCCCAGCCCCATAACGGGTTCCTGGGCTGCAGCTTTCTTGACCTATTTTATCCTTCAACCTAATCCCATCTGTTCCTTTTGTTCCTTGTAAAATTTTGAAACCCCATTTGTTGGTGACCTCTTTTATTCCTTTAAGTGTTACAGGGTTTATTTCTCTGGACTCTTCTTTGTGTTTATTTCAACCGGGCCTCCAGGGGCAGGTGGTAAATGCATGTGTTTACTCTGCCACCTTGAAGCTTGTTTTCCATTATTGCTGTTGTTACCTCCATGTGAAGGGATAGCTAAAGGGATATGTCAGAGTTCAGGCTATTGAACTAAACAGTATTTTGGACTGATATGCAACAGGCTTGGTGGACATTTCAAGGAAAAATACTTCTTGGTCCTGGTTGGAGTTTCCTGTCCACTTTGAGCTTATAATTTTTTAAATTAAAAAGTAATACATGGTCTTATAAGAAAATTTAGAATATGGTCAAAAGCAGAAGAAATTAAATCATCCAAAAGCAGAAGAAAACACGTAAACAAAAGCCGTTTTTGTATTTTATGTTGTACTTTAAGGCTTTTTATTCTTCAACTATCTTTTGTATTATAATTATCTATCTATAATTTCATATTCTTAAACTTAATTTCCTAATACAATTTTTATGTAGTTTATGTGAACTTCATTTAAAATTTTTTATTTTTAGAAATTCTTTATTTCAAACATTTACAATTTTCACTTTAGATGTAAAATAGGTGATAAAAAGAAAAACATATCATACTGACTCTTTGCCCATTGTATAGACATCAGCCTTTGGTATTTGCTTTTAGGTAACTAGGTAAAAACAAACAAACAAAAAAGCCTTAAAACTGTTATTTCTCTCCAAAAGAAACAAAGTTGAGGTAATCCATTTAACAGATGTGTGATCTCCATCCAAAAATGGTTTCCGTACGAATAGCCCTGCTACATGCTGTTTCAGTCCCTTCCTTCTAAAGCAGATGTTCATTTGAGCATATGTTCATAAACCTGACAGTGTTTCTTAATAATCATTAAGGTTGCAAAATAATACGGAGCACCAACTGTAACTGAAAAAAAAATTAGCAAATTAAAAAGTCATTAAGGTTGCCCTAGAAACACTGGGGCTAGCACCAGACCATGCAGAGAATATGACGCAGGCAGGACCTTTAGGGGACATTCAGGAGCATCTGACTCAGAACCTGAGCCAGCCAGACTTCATTTTTATTTTCTTTTTTGATTTTTAGAAAGAGAGGAAGGGAGAGGCAGAGAGAAAGAGAAATATTGATGAGAGAGAACATTGACTGGCTGCCTCCTGCATGCCCCACAATGGGGATCGGGCCCACAATATGGGCATGTGCCCTGACTGGGAATCGAACCAGTCACCTCTTGGTGTATGGGTCTTTGCTCAACCACTGAGCCACACCAGCCAGGTCCAGACTTCATTTGTAATAGTGTATAGTATAGCTTTCCCTTTGGTGATTGTGGTTTACTTGGCTACCATTTTCTTGCTGAACACAAGCTGTTTTTTTTTTTTTTTTTTAGAATTTTTAAGAATTATATATGCTACAACATTTATGCATATACTTTTCTCCCCATGGATTTAGGATGATTTTTTAGGTATATATACCTAAAATGTATTATGGGGGCCAGAATTTGGAGCAGAGGAGAGAGGGTTGTTAAGAGGAAAGAAGATCACATTCTTTGGAACCAGGTTGGGTGAAAAAAAAAATAGACTTTTTTAAAAAACCAGACAATTTGTAGACATGCATAGTATGGTTGGTGATTTTTCAGTCTACCATGCAGGTGTGGTTCAAGTTTCACCATGAGTCTATTTAGAAAATCATGTAGACTTAATCACCTTTGCAAACTAAGCCTCTTTTTTTCTTTCAGAGTAGCAGCTACGTTGACAGAATTTGATATGAATGCTCCAAAAGAGATGGTGGGTGATTTGGTGGTATAGGAGAGCTCTCTGATAATTGTACATAAAGAGCAATTAAGTTTATTGTATTGTATTAG